AGACTTAATGATAATTATATTTATTGAAAAGGTCAAGTTATTGACCACTGAACTTACGAAATGATTACTTGAAACGGAACTGCTGATTGTTTCAGCAAACTGTGTTAATAACTTACCTCTTCTTAGAAATTTTTCATACTTAGAGCATGCTGAGATATGTAAACTCCCAATTCAGGTGATGAGGTATAATGTTGCATAAGTAAAGGAAGTTGACGTTTGAAAAGTTAAAGTCATCATGCACGTTTGTCATCAATTATTTATTAAAACTATGATGTTAGATTACCATTAACGTCTTTTTCAATTAAAATATCTAAATCTAACACAGATGTGTCAGACTCTGTGGTATTTTTTTTTCAACTTACTGGGATATATCGTATCGACATAAGAATGAAAATAACAATTGTTAATTGACAATACGGCGTCGATATATGTTAAGGTCGAGTTGAAGGCCACAGCAAGTGTTTTTTTTCTTTTCACGTACGATTTGATGTTTTATATAGTGTTGAAAAATCGTAAGATTTAATGCTGATGATTTTGGCAAAATTTTGCGATTTCAATTTTTTTTCAAAAGTTTCTTGGAATTTTTAAGTATCCAACTCTGATTTACACCACTTCTCAAATATATGGTTGCACAGTATTCCTCAAGTTTCTCACTACTGTTAATATTTTAATGAGGAGTAAAGAGGCTTGGTAGAACAATTACTCGATTCAGCTATTTATCTTTGTTTGCAAGAATTTTTATGAAGTTTAGGAATCCAACAGAGATATGGTCAATCAAAACTTGCATGGTTTTGACGAATTTCCTCTCTTGAAAAGGAGCTATAGATATAAGTTGGATTATCACTAGTTGGTTTTCATTTTGCCCCTCAATCACTTAATGCTAGATTTTAACGTACATCTGATACATTCAATCCATTTTGATAACGTATCAAGGTGTTCTTTTTCATGTTTTGCCCATCGTCTGGCGTTGTCTTCTACAGAGCCCATTATATTTTTAAATGATGGCGCCAATTAAAAGATCAGGGTTCCCTAAATTTTGACCCTTTTAAAATTACAATGATTTAAGGTCCTCATTATTAACTATGTTTATGTCAGCAGTAATAAAGTGTCTAGCAAGACTATAGTTGTAGGGTGAAGAAGAACATAAATAGGAAAGCGAATCATGTATAAATAGGAAAGCGAATTATGTTTTAGATTTTCGATATCTAGGCTCTGTAGTTTTCTTGATGTTCAAAAATTTGGAAGCAAAAGTTTATGTAAATGAATATGTTTGTGAAATACATGGTGTAGTCTTAACAGAGTTCAGTCTTGCATTTCACATTGATCTACGCCATGCATTTGCAACAAATATTCCCAAACTGTTGCAGTCATACTTTTTTCAACTATAATCAAACATTAACATAACAAAATCTTCCTATGCGTTTTTTTTCTTTTAACTACAGTCTGTCTCACACGTCCTGGCTGAGATTGCATGGCTACCTTTCAGCAATTTTTTTTTTTTAAAGTCATAAATACAGGGAGTCCCAATCTCTCAGTTGGTGTAAGAATTTCATTTCTATTGAATAATTCGAAAATCATCCTACACTTTGGATAAAATAACGGTATGAAGAAGACCTGAATACACCTGTACTTTGTCAGAATGGAATAAGTGTTTTAGAAATATATCAAAGACAGTTAGAATTAGATTACATGAATATATACAAACCATCTATCCTTTGTTTTCATTAAATTGGAATTGATAAAAGAATTATAGACAGACGATATGAATACATGTACTATGTTAAAGCAAACAAGGCTTGTAATAATATCAAAATTTGATAGGCTCATTATTGTAACTGTATTTATTTAAGAAATAGGTTCTAATTCTACATCTAGAAATTCATTTTACATGATGCACTCCAATTACCATTCCAGTCAAAGGTTTGTCCGACCTACCGACATACAATGAATTCCTAAATTTTATAAGAATCCTTACAAAGATACATTGCCGGGCCTAGCATGTGCAGTTGTGTTTGTTCTACCAAAGCCCTCTCAAAAATATGAATTGCAGAAAGGGGAAACTTCAGATGTTCTCTATAACAGCATATTCTAGAAGTGGTACTATTCAAATGTGCAATCTTAAAAACTCCAATTTAAAAACTTTTAGATTTTTTTTTTTAAAAATACCGAACGAGGGTTTTATTTATTTTTATTTATTTGTTTACGTTTTACTCTAGACAATGGGGCTAAAACAATCGTCTTTTTCTTAAACATCAATGTGCCAATAAAGGAATTGACCCGGTTACTATAAGTAATATTCTCAATTACAAAAGGGCCCAGTCTTGTATTCCACCATATTTCAAGTTAAAGACTACACCTTGTATTTCCTACAAATATACATATGCATCGGCCATTGCTTCCAAACTTTTTAATTACAAAAAAAAAAACTTTACATGGCCTGGATATCGAGTATCTTAAACATAATCCTCCATCGTGTTCATGTTCTTCTTTACCCTATACTATTAACTATAGTCCTGCTGAACAGGTTATTACACTGACGTAAATATAGTTGATAATGAGGACCTTATATCACTTATTTTAAAAGGTCCTAAATATAGGGAGCGATTGCGCCAGGAGCTGGGCCAGGTATGAAAAAGACGTTAATTGACACTTTGTCGGAATGGATTAAATCTATCAGATCTGTGTTAAAATCGCATATTAAATGACGGAAGGGGGGGATATGAAAACCATCTACAATTCTGTATTCAATAATTCAGAAGTGAAAAAAGAATTAGATAGATTACATGATCAGTATACGTACTGGTTTCTGCTGACAAAGCAGGTAGCAACAATGTCTTTCTTTGTAAGGCTCATTATATAAATTGTATTTTAGAAGACCTTAATTAGTTTTAATTCTACAAGTGGTAATCCTACGTACTTTACTCATAGTTCCCTTTCTAAGGAAGAAATTCTTCAAAATCATGTCAGTTTTGAATATTTTTAGTATCCCAAAGAACTACCATATATATATATATATATATATATATATATATATATATATATATATATATATATATATATATATATATATATATATTCGAATATTCATTCGATGAGGTGATATTCGAATATAAATGCATGATTCGAATATTCGTTTTTTTAAGTGTACAAGCATTTAAAAGAGAGAAAAACCTGGCAAGTTTTATTAGAAATTGAATCAAGTTTAACAAAATTAAAAGACAGTCCTCTTCGATTACCTTTTATTTGTGAAGAGTGTATCTATTAAAGTAATTTATTTATTTGATCATTAATGAGTGGTAAAATAGTGCCCAGTACTTACAGTCAGCTTGTATTGTTGTAAGGACACAGTTTTACAAGACAAGACAAGACTTTATTCTCATAAACTGTACAAGACAGTATAGAGAGGATATTACATAAAATATTTACAATTAATTAAGCATGCGTGAGACAAAGAAAAAATGAAAAAAATGACAATGTCACAGACCAAGAGAGCCGACTCTCTCCATTATAGTTCCAATAAATTTACATAACTTAATTAATTTTTCCCTGCTGTTCAAATTAAATAGTTGGTCAAACTTAAAAACATTAGGGTTTATATAATAATACTTGGGCAATAGATTTAATCTAGAATTCTTAATGTATAGGTCAGTGCATTTAAATAAATAATGAAATTCATCTCCTATTTCCTATATCTCCTACATTATTATATATATATATATATATATATATATATATATATATATATATATATATATATATATATATATATATATATATATATATATATGATTCAGAATCCTTACAAACAAAGATACCTAGCGGGTTCCAGTAAATGTTCAACCAAGCCTCTTTCTTTACTCCTCACTCAGATTTTAACAGTAGTGAAGGTGTAACTTGAAGAGTACTGTGCAACAATATATTCAAGAAGTGGTGTAAATCAGATGTTGATACTTTAAAATTCCAAGGAACTTTTGGACATTATGAAATCACCGAAGATTTTACCAAAATCAACAGCTTGAAAACTTACGACTTTTCAAATTTATATACAACCATTCCCGACGATGAATTAAAGTCCAGGCTTTTTGATATCACTGACCGCTGCTATTTCAATAAAAATGGAACTCGAAAATTTACTTACCTTGTCATTGGTCATTTGCAAAATTATTTTGTTAAAAAGCATTCTGATTATACACACAGGTACTCTGAAGTCGACATCAAAAAGATGTTTGAGTTTCTGATTGACAATATCTATGTGGTTTTTGGAGACCAGGTCTTCCAACAATCGATTGGAATTCTTATGGACCTCTCTGGGGTTTTTGATATTGCTCATTCAATGATTGTTCTCAACACAAAATAATTTCACTAATCAAACGCTACACTTTAATTTAAAAAATGATATTCAAAATAAAAAATACTTCAATGAGGACAACATAATCACAAGGAATCCTTCTTGGTCATGACACAGCCACCGAATTCGATGCGTGCTTACATATGTATGTTAATTTGTTCATTAAGATACTAGGTACTGAAACTCTAAAGGGAAGTTTCAATTTATTGTTGCTATCATTGCCCGTCTATACGTCCGTCTGTCTAGCTATCATCTTCTTAAAACTCCTCTTACGATTTGAAAGCAATAAAAATTAAATGCGACAAGAGACTGTGCTGATGATCGTAGAAACACATCCGAATCAATGCAGCCTTGTAACTTCGCCTTCTTGTACTGCGCCTCTAGAATTAAAACTATGATAAGAACAATACCAACATCACCGCTCCCTGTACACCCCCACCATTTTTAACACCATCCAAAATACATGCGTTTAATCAACTTAAATAAGCCCTATTCTGCGACTGTAATTGTAAAAATTCAATATACTCGATACACAGTACTGCAAGATAAGGCCTACATTAGGTTTAAGGTCAACGCAGATCCAATCCTACGACGCGATGCGCCATCTGACGGGGCCGACTATAAAAGTTCCATATCCAAGGACACCTCAACTTTTCGTTTCGACTTGCCTTAAGGATGTACCGGTCCCTCGGTGTTCTTCTGGCATTTTTCGTAGTGCTGCATGCAGCCAAAGGTAAATGTTTACAGGCCATTCCCTTTTTTGCCTTAGGTGACCTTTTAATTAAAACAGATTTTATTAAATAATAAATACTTATTTCTATCAATTTGAATTTGAATTGAAATTTTATTTCAATTTTTTAATTCATCAGACATAATTATTTCAATTTTTTTTTATTTTCTTTATCTGTATTTTTTATTAACCTGCATATAACCATGAACTTCTTACATATTTGCTAATACATCTTGAATACATCTCAAATATATCGATGTACATCCATTAATTCTCATAACTTTTCATTCTTAAACCATTATATTAACCATACCAGCTTTAAATAAGATTAATTTTAACTATAAATATGTATTTATTTTAAGTATGGTATTATCTCAGATTTCATTAGCATTCTTTTGATTTGGTCTGTGGTCTAATCCGTGTTTGTATTATATAACGTCTGGACATATCTCAGACTACATAAACTTATCTTTGACCTTATTCTGATGGCCACATCATGATTATTTTGTCAACCATAAGTCAGCTATACTTTTATAATTTTTTTAAACTTGTTTCATAACCATCAAAGTTTTTGACTATGAATATGAAAAACAGTTCTTTTCTTCATCTTAAAGTATGTTTCTCTCGATCACCCGTTTGGCTTCTAATTTAGTACATTGCATTTAGTATACTGGACATGCACATTAAAATAAATGAAATTATTCTGAAGTATTTACTATTTGAATATGTTCTATGCAAAAATGTTGAGAATATAGGTAAAAATTACAAATATAAAACAAATGCCATTGTTTAGAGGTAAAGTTGTTATGAAAAAGCAGGCTTTGTTTTGTATGCAAGGTTGTTATGTAAATCACTTTTTAAAAGCAGGCTTTGAAAATTAAATTTGTATAAAAGCGATTATGCAGAGGTATAACCACAATTCGTGAAAATTATGTCTCGCTTACAAAGAGTCAATGACAATCTCGCGAAAATAAGGTGTCGTGAATATTTAGTGATCTACAGTACCAAAAGGACTATCCATTCATTCAGGACGACAAGCCAATTTCATCATTATATTTGGAATTGAACGGTGTCACGTGAGGTCTTAAATTAATGAATATTTATGAAATCTTTGTTTACCAACATTCAAATCTCAAGGTTTAAATTTCTTTCTTTTTACGAATCTAAACCATATTTTCCTACTTTTAACATATAACAAAAATAGCAAAAGTACAGATTATATCATGTTGGTCTTCCTAAAAGAATAAACCTTTGAATTCATACATCTTAGTCATTTATGTATTCATATTCTTCTAGACAGCAAATCCATATGTATTTGATTTATAATTATACAACATTATCAAAGCACATGCTGAACTCACACAGTGACTTTGATAATGAGGCGACCAATGACACCCATGCATAATAGATAAAAAAAATCATGTGGCGACTGTGAAACCAGGATTGGCCTAGTTCATTAAGTTTACAGGCTAAGATCTAGTCTCAAATTGTTTCTTTTTTAATTTTGTTTACTTTTGTGAACCCCCAATCCCCATCCCACCCCACCCACCCCACAAACACTCGTATTGATAATTTTTTTCTTATTTTTTTCAGTACGGAAGCAACTAGCTTCCCAACGTAAGTAATCTTAATTTTCATAATAAGGGATAAATTGTTCAGTACCTTTCTGAATATAAAATTACATTCATGTCTTTAAAATGTTGATGAAAATATACAGCTTTGTGCTTTTGAAACAAATGATGGCAACAAAATATAAGCTTTGCAAGACAAGAGGGTTAGGAAATCGTTAAAGCAATGGCAATTGCAAATCATTGTGCAACTTTGACGCTTTTTCATTAAAGTTTTATAACCAAGCTTTGGTGCCTCATTGCAAAATAGTTATATAGAGTTCCCTGTAAAGGACATTAAAATGGCGTTAAACTATCTACAATGGACGCTATGTAATGCTTCTTGCACTTATGCTTACTGCACATAAAATTTGCTTCTGAACATCGAACCAATCGGGTTTTTTACCATGTGACATCACTTCAAGTTTTAATTTAAACGTTAAGACTTGCTGTTCTGCGAAATTAAGCTTACATAGCTTACAAATGCTTTAACTCCCTTAAATTTTTTTTACCGTATCAATGCTTCACTTAAATTCTGCAAGGAAAATCCTTCTTACCCAACAAAATGTAATGGACTGCTTAAAGCGTCAAAACATAGGGGGGAAATTGTGCTTCTTTTTCAACGGCTCTATGGCTTCAAGTGCTTTGCTGGGCAAGGACCATGTTATGGGTATCACTGGAGAGACTAAAAACTGAATCATCGCATATTGCAGAATGTATCCCGGAGGACGTCACTTTTCTGGTTGATTCGTCATCATATGTAGGAGCTGATTACTTCAGAACACAATTAGACTTTATCAAATCAACCATAAATAACTATTACATAGCTCCTCAGTGCACACGTGTAAGCTTAGTCACCTTCAGTGATGGCGCCTACAACTCCTTCTACCTCAACCAGTACTCGAACAAGGCAGCGTTATTCAACGCAATTGACAATATCCAGTACAGACCGGGTTCGGCTAGACAAACAACCGAAGGTCTTAAGTACATGATGGCAAATAGTTTCTCTACTTTACATGGTGGGCGAAACAACGTGCCGCATATTGGAGTACTTGTTTCCAACGGATTACCGGACAACACACAAGCATTTCAGCAAACTGCCAACCAGGCAAAACAGGATGGAATTAAATTGTACACAGTAGGAATTGGCTCTGGTGGACACTTACAACAATTCGCAACAGCAGCAAGCTCCCCCTACGGTCGTTATTCTTTAGTGGCAGATAGCTACTCGTCTATTAATGATCTTTCATACCCACTTGCGTACCGAACAATGAGTGGTATGTGATTGCCACATAAAATATTTATTGAGTTACCAATATTCTCTGCAGTTTTATTAACACCATTAAATTTTATAAAACACATATTCTCAAAATTTCAGAGGCCCCAGCTGTGTCGTCTCAGAAACAAACATGTCTACAACGAGCTGATCTAGTTTTCCTCGTCGATGGTAGTGGAAGTATTGGACCAAACAATTTCGACAAACTAAAATCCTTCCTAAAAGGTATCACAAGTCAACTTGATATTGGTGCCGACAAAGTCCATGTTGGTGTCGAGCAGTTCAGCAACTATCCGTCAATTGAGTTTCCACTCAATATGCACACAACAAGCGCTGGACTCAGTACTGCAATCGACAACATCAACTACATGAGCGGTGGTACCAACACTGGAAGCGCCATCGATTACATGTCTCAGCAGATGTTCTCCACGACAAGCGGAGCGCGTTCAAACGTTCCTAGAATCGCTGTTGTCATTACTGATGGTAAATCCTCCAGCTCCGCGGCTACTGCAACAGCTGCCGATCAAGCCCGACTCAATCACATTTCCATGATTGCCGTTGGTGTCGGCAATGGTGTTGACATCAGCGAACTTCATAGCATCGCCGACGATCCCGACAGTGCCAACACATTTACAGTTAACAGCTACGATCAACTCAACTCCATTGCTACCCAAATCATCCAGAAGGCTTGTCAAGGTTATATTTTTAACATTTAACAAACTAAATTACTAAACAATTGTGTTCGTCTTCTAGGCTGCATCGAATATTCGGAAAATCTGCATATTAAACCTGTGTCTTCTTTCAATTGCAGTGAGAACAACAGCTCCCCCAGCCACCAACACAAACTCTGGTTAGTTTCATCTCTCTGTTTCTTCACATCTATTTATAAACAAGGTTACTGCATTGTATTTTCCTATCCCTGTTGTTACATGTATAATTTGTATCCTATAGGAGCCACTCTTCCACCCGATCCTTGCCAAGACTCTCGCGCTGACTGTAAACGTTACGGACAGAAAGTTTGCATAGACTACGCTCCTTGGGCTCATGACAACTGCCAGAGATATTGTGGATTCTGTACAGGTACGTTTCTATTGCAATTGCTTCTCAAAAATATCCCTGATAGGGAGGCAACATATATATTCCTTATTTTTTTCACATTTAATTTCTGAAATATTTGTATTTCTATGCAGTTGAATTTTTTTACGATGCTCCAGAAACATTTCCTCTGCATATAAGATTTGTAACTTTTCACTTCTATTACAACAAAAATGACAAAATGGACCCGTGTCTTTGTTTACAGCTCTTTACACAACTGCCCCACCCCCCTGTGTTGACAACCTCTCCAACTGTCCTAACTATGGAGATTCCGTTTGTAACAACCCTCTGTACCAAGGATGGGCAAAGGATAACTGCCGAAAATTCTGTGGCTTCTGTGGCCCTAGCGTCAGTGCTGTAGGGTTTTGTGAGTGTATACTTCATACTATATTCGAATCAAGTTCTAATTCAAAACGACTTCGCTTTTGCATGTTTCTTTAAATATAATTCATACGTAACACTTGACAGATGGACAATGTAACTACAAGGGAAAATCTTACAATCCTGGCGAGAAGTGGACAGATGGATGCGACTATGAATGTATCTGTGAAGATGGCGCCAGTGGCCGATACAAGTGTTACAACAGGTACTTTAATTAGCCTCTGCTATAGGGTACATATACAATTTTACAAAGGAGTTTTGTTATTATCTATGGTTAATAGCCTTTGCAGATCGACATACAAAGCGGATTTCAACACCATCCTCCTGATCGCGTAACTTGAAGTTCTTTCAATGACGGGGATAATTTCGGTTTTATATTGCTATATTCCACACAACATAAACGTTTTTCTATGCAACATTCAGAACAAAAACAAACAAACACACAAACAATGTGTCGAAACTTCTAAAAGCAGCAAATAAACTTTTTAACTTCGGAAACCTTGCTTACAGGTGCCCCCTGTACTACAACATGCCCGCGGAGTGTACCCTCGTCCGTGACCCCCAGGAATGTTGCCAGAAACCCGTCTGTAACTTCAACCAGAACTTACAGACCTTTGAGCAGACTAACCCTGCCCAGACAGCAACTGGAGTCGGTATGTCTCTTACAGATTTTCACTGCAAACCGCATGTTTACCAATTTTATAATTTATATCTTTTCAATGGTTGGCCAAATGTGGAAGTAATTCCTGCAGAAAGCAGACAACTCTAGCTTATCTCAGGAGTTTGTTTCAGGAGGTAAAATCTGTTGATATTTTTGTTTTGTTTTTCAAGGTGTGTGCGTGTACAAAGGAAAACAGTATTTCGAAAGTCAGTCATGGACTGACGGATGTGACTACCAGTGTACTTGCACCAATGGAAATACAGGACTCTACAAATGTCAATCTCGGTTCGTAAAGGCATTCTTTGCAGATTCGACATAAAATAAACTAAATAGCAAAATTGCCCGAAACTGAAAAATATGTATGATTTTCTCAGAATATATACTTCAGATGAAATTTATGCGAAGTTATCAGGTGATATCATTTAGCACATGTTTCCCTTAATTACCTGATGAAATTATGTGTAATTACCTAGTTCCAGGAGTTTCATGCAATCCACGCCTTTTAAAATTCAGTTGTAACAAGAAAGACAAAATCTTCCATAAGAAACTAAATCCCAAATAATTTTTGTCTCTATAGTTGTCCCCGATATCAGTCCCTTCCACCATATTGCCATATGGTAAAGAAAGCCGGAGAGTGCTGTGCTCAACCAGTGTGTGAATTCAACACTCAGACTGGATCATTCACAGGAACTGGTTCCATCAGCGGTGTCGGAGTTGGTGTGTAGCCACGTGATTTTTTTTTTAATTTTGGCGGGAATTTAACATGATTATATCAACATTTTATCAAAAAGTTGTCGTGCAGCAATTTTTGGCATGTTTCAAGGACTATTCTTTAAGGAAAATGCTAAAACAGATAAAAATCACGGGTCGAGTTTCTCAATTACAGGTAATATTACGTCACTAGAAAACCCGGAAAAAGCGGAGTCGCACTAACCAATTTTAAAATTATGTCGTAGACGCGGGAAATTTGTCAAGAATGTAAACATTTGCACGTTAGGACTTTTTGATGAAGCAGAACTTGAGAAGCGATATTGTTTGAAGTTTTGAGTGAAATCATAGCAAGAAAATTTGTGTTGATATATATGTTGATCATTTTATCAATGAATTAATATCGTTTCATTAAGATTTAGTCGGAGAGGTTTTGTTATTTCACTTTTCAGAGACATGATAAAAATGGTTTTTATCGCCTCTGGTTGTTCAGTTCTAGTTTTAGTTTTTTGTATAAATGTGATTATACCTCTTTTTTAAATGCAGGTAAAACACCAACTACACCTCCACCATGTGTGAATCAGCTCTCTAACTGTGAAAGATACGGCAAGGATGTGTGTAGTGGATTCGGTTCTTGGGCCTCTGTCAACTGCAGAAAATACTGCAACTTGTGTGGTAAGGTTGATACCTGATTCAATGTTAACGATGAAATCTTGTATCAGAAATATAGGTTGATAGGCTACCCGTTTGAAAAGAAAAATCAATATCAGAAGTATCTATAGGCAGGGTTTTAAACTAACTTGTAATCTTTGATCGCCATGTGGGCTACTAAACCTTGCAATTCTGGGGCCCACATCAAAATTTATTCGCCCACAAATTATCACACCTTCTCTTGAATAAATATACAACCCCATTTTTCGTTATTTTTTTTTTTATCATATGACTCGATCGTGTTTCTTTTCTATCCGTAGAAACATTGTGCGTGACTTATCTTAATTTCAAATTGTCCTCTTTTGTTTAAAAAGATTGAAATGGTTATTAAACATCATATATTCAAGTACATGGCAGATTACTTCACAGACACAACCAAGATACGTTTTGGTTTGTCGGGCTCATTGACGCGTCAATGTCACATTCGTCGTCACAATCACTCAGACGCTTTGTGTTTAAGTACTTCTCACTGGTAAATATAAAGCACTTTGCTGATTACGAAAATTTCAAGAGAAAAAAAAGGAACCGGACAAAATTAAAAAACAAATATTTATCAACGTAAATTTTCTAATCGCCAGCTACTTGAACATAATTTAATTATTGGTCAAAGAGTGGGCGACTGTTAATTTCAAACCCTGATAGGCTAGTACGTGTACCCCTATGTTGTGTCGAAAAGCTTGAAACGGGTTTCCATTAGATTGAATGATTTCATATGTAGGCCCTATTTGTAAATTAAAATAAGCTGTCCTTATGAGCCCTTTTGCAATATTGAATAACTGCGGTACTAAGTCTTTTGCAAGGCAAATTGTAATAAACAATAATGATAAGCGTTTGGAAGTTTGGAAAAATTTAATTGTCCTGTTAATTGCTCTCCCTACAAGTTGCTATTTTTCCATTAAATTGTCAGTAGCATTTAATATATAAATGAATAATTGTTCATTTAAATAAAATCATTTTATTCTGCTTTTTCAGATGTCAAACCAACTCCTGCCCCTGCAGGTGAGATTTGGTGAATTTTCAAGTGTCCTTGATAATTCATACTGGTATTATAATGTGTACTTTGAAAAAAAATGTACATGGATTAGATAAATTTAATTTTGTGCACTGTGAAATAATTGAAAATTCTGTAAGTTGTTCATTTTGACCTGAACAAATGTATCATGAGATGTGAATTGATTTAATCTGTTATCATTGATATTCAGATCGCTGCATGTACCAAGGTCAGGCCTACAGTCAAGGTCAAGGGTGGAAGGTCAGCTGTGACACTGAGTGTATCTGTGAAAATGCTATTTATGGATATTACAGATGTACTAACACGTACGTAAAAGTTCACTAAATGTAGCTGTGTAATCATGGCTTATATTGTAGGGAATAACTTTACATTTGTAAGGTTTTTTTAAAATATGTGATTGCTTACAACTTTATAAATGATTTGACACCTTTTTGAGTTTTTATTTTTTATACAAAGAATAAAATTTTGAACATGTCAAATGTGGGAAACTATCATGAATATCAAGATTTTGCTTTTTACCTTTATGTTGCAATAATATATTTTTATAGATGCCCTAAATACAACAACTTGCCAAAGGGTTGCTATGAAGTGAAGAAAGCTGGAAAATGTTGCCCAACTGTTGAATGTGAAAATGGAGTTTTACTGACTTCCACCAACAACCTGGGAACCATTGGCAGTGGTGGCCTGATCAATGTGCTCCACCCACCGGTCCCACAAGCTGTCCCTACCCTCCCCAGTGGTGGCCAGCCCCTCCCAGGAACAGGAGGAACTGGATTCATGGCCCCATCCCTCAGTATGTATATTGTCAAAACTGCTAAACAATAATCATGATAACTCTTACAGGTTTAGATGAAAATAATTTTAATCATAGCTGAATTATTTGGTTTATGAGTAATAAAAAAAAATAATAAAAACTCTTCTTAATGCTACCAATAACAAAATATATACTTTAATCTTTTCATGAATTTTATGAATTACATTGTGGTTCAACACAAAGAAGAAATAAGAAAGTATAAATGTTTGACAATCTGAAAACTGAAACCCTGGGATTTTTAATGGAAGATCCTGCATGTTGATTAATGTTTTTTAGTGATTGAGCTAATTAATTCACATTTGTTTTTAGAGGGATGTTTGTACAAAGGTGTAAAGTACATTCAAGACCAACTGTGGCATGATGAATGTAAATACACCTGTGAATGCCAGGATGCAAGTAAAGGACTCTACAAATGCAATGAAAGGTAGCTGATTACATTATCTATTGATTTCTATGTGTACATTCTGTACTTGAAAGTGGTATCAGATTTTTAATATTTTGAAACTTAATGATTCCGAGTCTATTATTCTGTTGAAACATTTTACAATATTGAACCTTGACATATGTCTTTTTAAATTGGTTCACTCAAATGGAAAAGAAAAAATGCCATGTGAATCTTTATAGAAAGCATAGGGACAGTTTTTCCAATTATAAATGCATATCAAGTGAGCTAATGATTGGTTAATTATTCACCAGATGTCCAACCTACATTAACCTGCCTTCTGAGTGCACCTTTGTCACTGACCCCAATGATGCCTGCTGTAAGAAACCCAGCTGTCCAGATCCCAGTACTCCCATTGTTCCCACCTTTGGTCAGAGTAACATTGGATACGGAGTGGTCCAGCCCCCCAGTGTGATTGACCTGTACCAGAACTACAGCCCCATCCCCTACACCGTCATCTATAACACCGGTCCCACCACGCCTGCCCCATCAGCCTCCAATACTGGAGTAGGTGGGTGGATCATAAAATTATCCTAGATGCTTTTAGAAACATGCAAAAGACTGATACATGCAATCATGGTCATAGAGAAGCTAATGTCTGTATTGCAAAGAACTGGATTTTTACAACAATCCTGTTTTAGCAAAAAAATTGTTTACTCATAGTTTGCAAGGAAACAAATAAAAACTTATTTATATCAGACCTGTTTACTCTTACGATTTCGCCGTATATAGTCTAAAATACGTCTCACGTTTTGCTATTATGAAAATACGGAAATCGGAAAAACGTTCCTTTGGAATTTAGCAGTTATTTTTGTTAATTTTCGCTATGATTCGTTTTAGTTTCTTGCTTTTAAATACCTAAAAAGAGAAAGATTTCAATCACATTTTTGATGTCGGCTTGCCAAAGCGCTGTGGTATTCTAAAATAACAAAGACCATGTTGTTTAACCATGTTTTTTGTAATAGGGAAGCAGCTGTTCTCTATTAATACATGTAAAATTAATGGAAAGTGAAATCTTACTGACAAATGCTAAATCTCACGGACAAATCTAATCAAAAATACTGAGAGACAACGAAATGGGTAAACAGATCTGTTATATAAATCTTCACTTGGTCAATATTTATGCCTAAGGTTTTATATTTTTTTGTCAGGATATTGTCTGAGAAATGGACAGAGACATCTTCAAGGAGAGCAGTGGAATGAAGGCTGCGATTACATCTGTACCTGTGAGGATGCCACCACAGGAAAATGGAAGTGCACTCAAAGGCAGGAATATTTTCAAGATCTTTACTGAAATTTATAGGATATACTTGCAAAATCATTCTCTGAACAAAATTATTTTAGTAATTGTGTTAAAATGTGGCCTAGCTTAACTTATGAATAATATACAACCATAGTTTGGTAAAAATTCAGTAATTTAATTCTTGAACATTTATGTCAACAATTCAGCTGCATATTCTTCAAAATTAAAGTTGTTTTTCATGGAGCTTTGAAATTCTTATAGATTTTAATTCAATATTTATATAAAATACAATGAACTGGTATGGATACTTAATTTTATTATTAGAATCTTGTACAGTGTTAATATATTCCCTTCAGGTGTCGTATCTACTCCAACCTGCCCAAGCAGTGTTACTTGATCCAGGACCCCGACGATGCCTGCTGCCAGAAGCCCGTGTGTGACTTTAACCCTGTCACTGGTGTCCACAGCGGCTCCTACTCCCCCATAGTCACGGTCACCCAACGCCCCACCACCACCCCACGACCAACAACACCCAAACCACGCAAGTGTTTCTTATTGAATTATGTTCAGTGTTTACACACCCTGCTGTCGTTTATCATTGAATTTGGTTAAGTTTAGATAGTGTTAAATTCAATTTGTGTATGAAAATCTGGCATATTTTGTTGAAATCAAGAAAAGAAAAATTATAGTCTACGAAAATTTTGTTGTCATCAGTGATTCCTATGTAAAGACTGAACAAATATGCAAAAATATAATAAATTTTGTTACTTTGATATGCATAATAGATTTAAAATAGGGAACACATTGTGTGTTTGTCATTGTAACTTGATAATAATTATTTTTCATTTTGTATCATAACAGATGTTTGTATTTACAACGGGAAGCAGTACAGCCAAGGACAAACGTGGTACGATGGTTGTAACTACAAGTGTACCTGTGATGATGCCTATGGTGGAATCTACAGATGTGTCAACAGGTATGTCAATTATTATGTCACCGAGAAGTTATTTAATTCTAACTGAAAAAGTACAAAGTAACTTCATGGGAGAATTTACTGATAACAATTTGCATTGAAGTAACTTAATGTACCCATAGACTTTTGAGTGATAAATGTTGGTCAGAATATTAGTTTAGAAAAAAAAGGATTTTTGAAGTTAATGTGACTGATTTTTGTTAGAAATCCAAAAGTTGCCATTATTGAAATGCACTTCTGTACTTGCATTCCAGATGTCCAGTTTATCAGAATGTTCCTGATGTGTGTACAATGGTTCCTGACCAGAATGACCCCACCTGCTGTCAGATGCCCCAGTGTAACTTCTCACCGGTCACCAACACCGTACCCGGTCAGGGACAGGTGGTCTCCACCCTGGCTCCAGGAACCTACCAGGGAACCGGAACAGGCGTCAACATCGGTAAATTTGATATGGATATTTTATATGTTGTAAAAATTAACATTTCTTAAAGTTCTTATGAATCAGATTCTGTTATGTAATAATGATGATTTTCATAATTTTGTGTAAATCAGAGTATGCAGTGATATAATTACGAGACTAAGAAAACTGAGAGTAAATAATATGAATAATATGAGATTTCTCTAATGTTCTGTTGAGGGTATAAGCACTGTTTCTGATTTCCCCCCAGGATTCTGTGCATACAAAGGAAAGCAATACCAACAGGGACAGACCTGGGACGATGGCTGTGATTACCGCTGTGAATGTAAAGACCAGAACACAGGAAGATATGTCTGCTCTGATATGTTAGTACCTTAACTTGTATCCAAAGGCTATGTGCATCTAAAGCTAACATGTCATATATATGTACTTAAATGTGTTTATTTAAACCACATAGGATTTATATGTTATATTGTAAATGTTACTAACTTAAGACAATTAAGCATCATCTTTTTGGGATAAATTTAAGTATTATCAAAAATGTTACGACATAACAACAATGCTGCCAGCGCATTACCCTCAAAGTTAACATGCTTTGATAATTTGTTAGGTGCCCACGATACAGCAGCTTACCAGCCCAGTGTAAGCTGATCCAGGACTTCAGAAACCCATGCTGTAAGGTGCCAGACTGTGGATTTAGTGGAACCACGGGAACCATCTCTGGACAGAATACCCTGGCTCCTCCAATGCCAGGACAGCCCACCCCCTCTCCTAACCCCCTCAATCCCAATCCAACACCAGGCATGGGCGTGCCTGTTCTGAGTAGGTTACATGTTTATTTCTCACTGCTTGAAATTTATGTGTATTTGTTGCAAAAAATTATCTTGTTGCCTCATCAATGATGAAAAGAAAAGTAGGTCTGAACTCCGGTGTATGATGCATGTTTAGGATCAATTTTTCCTTTTTTTTTTTAAGAATGATTTATGTACATATATATGCATTAACATAGTATTAGGTGAATGATGGTCATGAATTAGATAGTTTTCCCATTTGTACTTAGACAATTGCTAATTGATATTGGGATTGTAACAAAAATCCTTTTGGTTGTTTTCAGATTACTGTTTGTACAAAGGAGTGAAATATTACCAGGGACAATCCTGGGAAGATGGATGTGACAAGAAATGTCTATGTGACCAGGCTTCTGAGGGACTCTACACTTGTAATGATAGGTAAAATAAATTGAAAAAATAATGAATTTCAAGGGGAATGTGTTTGTGATTATGTTTGGATAAAATGACATACATGTAAAAATAAGCATGCACATTATATAGATATGTTTTAAGATATTGACACTAAAGATTAGCCGTTTATACATTATAATTAATATGTAAGAGTGTAGTACTGATTTGAATTACCATCATATTTAGATGTCCAAAGTACACCCAGGCTCTGCCCAAGGAGTGCCGAATGGTGACCTCCCCCACAGACTCCTGCTGTCAGGAACCTAAGTGTGACATCCCATCCCTGCTGACCAACATCTCAGGAACCATTTCCCCCGGCATGATCCCCACTCTAGCTCCCCCTGGTGTCATCTCAGGAAATGCCAATACCCCCACTCCCATGCCACAAGCCCCTGGACAGACAACGGTAGCACCTAAACCCCTCAGTAAGTTGCTTTGTACTGTAAAATTTTTAAAATTTAGAATCATGAGAAGACACTTCTTACAGTGAATTCTTTGTGGAAATTTGTGTTTTTCTCCAAGCGTCTAACATGACACCTGAATAGATTATTTTTTTACATGAATTTTTTGTAGACTACTGTGTATACAAAGGTCTACAGTATGCCACTGGATCCCGATGGGATGATGGTTGTGATTACACTTGTGTTTGCACAGATGGAATGACAGGACATTATGACTGCACAGAAAAGTGAGAATTGCAAAATTTTACATTCTAAAGTTAAGAATGAAATGTTGAATTGAAAAAAAAGATCATTAAATCTTGATATAGGCCCTAGAGTTACAATTTGATTTTGCATTTATGAGTGAAATCTGTTGGATTTTGTTCATGTAGAAAATTCTGTAAATACTACGTTGTATTTGTACAAATAATTAAAATTTTATAAATTAGCTTTTATTGTTGTACATGTATATTCATGTATTTATATATATGTTAACAGATGCCCAAGATATGGCCAATTACCCCGTGAATGCTACCTCACCAAAGATCCAGCCAACCCTTGTTGTCAGAAACCTGAATGTACCTTCAATCCATCAGTCAGTGAATTCACTAATGCCCCAACAACCAAAGCTCCCTTGCCAGGATTTACCAACGCTCCTACTCCTCAACCCACCGGCCAGCCAAACCCCAACCCATACCCAACTCCAGCTCTCCCCAAAGGTTTGTAATACAGTGACCAGTATTCTATTGGATTTCTTGATACTTCCACTTCTTTGAAATCTAACAATAAAAAAGAATGTATTAAAAAACTTTTGTACAGATTGTTGGAATTTTTTTGGGATACAAGCATTTAATGCAACATTATCTTTTTTATTTCAGCTGTGTGCGTCTACAAGGGAAAGAGTTACACCCAGGGTCAGCAGTGGTTTGATGGCTGTGATTACACCTGTACATGTGAAAATGCTATGACAGGTGTATACAGATGCAGCAGGAGGTAAATATACCTTACTACAATGTAAGAACTGATGCACATTACTTGTGGCACTGACATGATATATTGCATGTAACCAGTATGCTGGAAGAAAAATATTCAAATTCAAGATTAAAGTTCTCTTTACTAGTATTTGAGTTTGAAGAATAGGAATGAATCCTTCCTCTTGGCTCATCTGAGTGGTATGCTAAATACATCATATGTAAACATATTGAGATTATTGTGATTTACTTTGACAGATGTATTGAATATCCCCAAATGACCCCAGGCTGCAGCCTTGTTGCTGATCCCAAGGACCCACTCTGCTGTAAAGTACCCCAGTGTCAGGTCCCACCCAAGTACAGCAACCAGACAGGCTTCATCAACATTCCCACTCCCCCACCAGGTGTTATCACTGGAGGTTCCGTCACAAAGGTAATCTAGATATGATCAGCAATCAAAGGTTTAATAACTCACGATCTAGTTGACAGCTGCACTCAAGGCAATCAAGCTTTACGACTGGAAAATTGGGAAAAAACTATTTCCGTGTCAGTGTTGATAATTTGAGAGAGATGAATGTGACGAAAAAGATCGTGACATAACGTGAAACTTTACAGTTAATTGCAAACTACATGTATAATATAGAGAGATGGTGCTTCAATGATAACATTTGCATCTTGGTAGTAGCTACTCATTACAATTAAGAATTGATTTAGAAATTTTTACGATGTTATTCTTGCTTTTTCTTTTTTTTTATTGGAAGAATGCATTCTTGATTGTTAATGATCAGGTTGATGAACACAGGTTACTTGTAATTTGATTATTGTATTTTATGTAATTCAGGCTCCCACCCCTCAGCCCACATTGGCTCCTGGCCTCACTCCCTCTCCAGGCTCCCCAACTCCTGGTGTGACACCAGCTCCAATCCGTAAGTTCACTCTTATTACCTAGTCAGGGAAAGGTTTCCAAATCTTATGAATAAAGAAGTGGTCCTAGACGAAAAATTACCACAGTATTTATATCCACTTGTGTGTAATACCCTTGTCTTGTTTTGACACTGGGTTTATACAGTGTACTTTTCTGCATAATTAAATACATGAATTTTTTTTTATTTCTAGCTGTTTGTATCTACAAGGGAAGCAAGTACACACAAGGACAAAGATGGCAAGATGGCTGTGACTTCAACTGTGAATGTACAAATGCTAATACTGGAAACTACAGATGTACTGAAATGTATGTTGGAAAAGTCTTCTTTCAAATATCTTTTGAATTTAAATGTGTAATTTATTAAATGTATAATGTTAAACATTCATCAGTTGATTACAAGTGAAGTGAGCAAAGAATATTTTTATTAACCATTTTGGTTATGTGTAGTTTTTATTCCTTATTCTTACCTACTAATTTCCTGTTGACTTCTTTTTTCAGGTGCACTAAATACAATGGACTCCCCCCTCAGTGCCAGCTGGTCACGGATGTCAACAAGCCCTGTTGTAAGAAGCCTTACTGTAACTTCCAGGGAGTCACGATCCAGGTCACAGGAACCCCCGCTCCTAACATGGGGACCACCATAGCCCCCAACCCCCTCAACCCTACTGGCCCCACACTGTTCCCAACCCCCACTCCTCCAGGTATGTGTGTTGTTCAATTCCAGACATAATTTTTGTCTGTTTATAAAAGAAACAGTTTTATATCTATGATTGATTGCATATAAAATTTTAATATCTGCGACCCAGAATAGCAATATACATGGTGTTAATTATATGTCTTTTTTGCTTTGAAGCCTTTTTCTCACAGTTAAACCTAATTTCTGCTTATTACAACAGAAATGAATTTAGTGTGTATATTCTGAAGGAAATTTGCTTCTTTTTACAGAGGTTTGTGTATACAATGGAGTACAATTTAAACAAGGAGCTACATGGCAAGATGGCTGCTCCCTGAACTGTGTCTGTGAAAATGGAAAGACAGGTTTCTACAGATGTAATGAAAGGTAATGTCACCATGGATTGATTAAATACAAGAATTTATAACAGAAAAATCTGTTGAAAGCAAGAATTTCTTTGGAAAAAAATGTGTACCACTTATAAAGTTTTGATTGTAACTTTGTGAATTTTGGTTTAGTTACGGGGTAAAATTGATATTTTAAAGGGTAATATTTTGGCTTTCATTCATGAGAATTTCCATTGCTTGAGTATTTAAGCAAAAAACGAAATTGAAGAAAAATTGCTCAGTATGCATGTGTGCAGTAGGCTTTTGGTATCATATGCTATCTAGCTTCATTTTAAACTACAAAAATGATCACTTCTTGTGAAATTTATCAATTTTACAGTAATGATGTAAATGATTTTAGTGGTATAAATATTAAAAAGGTTAATTTGCAGTCACAAATAATTTGACTGTTTTTTGACAGATGTGCCCGATATGACCAGGTACCTGCTGGCTGCACCATGACAACTGACCCCAGTGACAGCTGCTGTAGAATCCCTCTGTGTACCCCACAGCCAGTCTCCACCCCGGCTCCACAACCGGGTCAGACACTGAGCCCCAACCCCACACCACCCCAGGTCCCCGTGGTTACAGGATCAGTCATTGGAATAGGTCAGTCAAGTTATAGCATTTGATGAGCAATGTGTTGTCAGTTAGGAACTGGTTTATATCATTCCATTTAGCATGTGTTACATCTTAATATCTACATTGAGCTACATGGATATTCTAAGATTTTGTATGCATGTAGATTTGATGGACAAAGGTGAAATTAAATCGATAAATATATACAATCTGTACATTGTGTACTTTATTACATTAAGTTATAAAAAATAAGAATATGTCATATAAACTTAATGAAATCATATATATATAGGTTTGATAAACATGTAAATATTTTTACTTCAGGTGTAACCCCAACACCTAGACCTGGTCAGACCCCAGTACCCAATCCAGTACCAGTGTGTGTCTACAAAGGTGTGCAGTACACACAGGGACAGAAATGGGATGATGGATGTCAGTACAAGTGTGAATGTATAGATGCCAATGCTGGAAAGTACAAGTGTACTAAGAGGTATGTGTAAAACTGAAAAGTAATGATAAATTATTTAATGTTTTTTTTTCACAAAAAACTTCATTTCACATGATAAATTTTAAAAATTTAATTCTCCTCAATTTTTGTTTATTGAACATTATTTTATAAGACAAGAGTAAAAAATGGTAAAAATTTTGTCTTGCTTTTAATTAATAAAATGGCTATCTTGCAAAAATAAAATTTTGTGATCTACAGTACATTGTATGTTAATATCCAATTGCAAATCTTAAGGAAAAAAAAATAACAGTGAAATTAAATGTGTAAACTGAAACTGTTTCATCTATCAGATGTGGAGAGTTCCCCAGCCTGCCTGCTGAGTGCTCCTTGATCAATGATCCCAAAGACCAGTGCTGCAGAGTACCATTCTGTCAGCCAACTCCAGTCAATACCCCTGCACCAAACCCCATGGTCACCCCAAATCCAAACCCTAATCCTCAACCAGGAACCACCATAGCCCCAGGAGTAAATCCCACACTGGCACCAAATCCTAATCCTAACCCCAATCCTAATCCCAACCCAACACCAGTACCTCAACCTAAAAGTAAGTCAAGTTGAAGATAAAAATTTTTTATCTCATTTTGAAGGACATTAATTTTATATTTCATCTTTAGGTACAGTTGTCTGTTATCAGAAAAAAATATTAAAATGATAAAATAACTTTAATTACCAAAGAATTTTTGATTAGGTATTAAATGGAACTTTTTTATACACTTTATGAAAAATTCAGTAACTAAAATTAAGAACATTGTATCTGTGATTGCAGACATTTGTGTGATGAATGGTCGTACCTACACCCAGGGACAACAGTGGTACGATGGCTGTGACAGGATCTGTAGATGTGAGGACGGAAGCACTGGGTTCTACAGATGTCAGGACAGGTCGGATATTTCTCTTTGACTATCAAAACACTAGAGAATAAATCTATTGATTAACAAGGGGGTTACTACAATAATCTGGAAACCAGATATTATATTTGGATCCATTAAGATTTAGGCAATATTATCAATATTTATTTAAAAAACAAACATTGAAAAGGGTGAACTCTTTATAAGTAAGTTGATTTTATTTTAGGTAACAGTTAAAATTAAGTGATAAATTGCTCCACAAGTACATGTACATGCAATTACACTTTTATGTAAAAATTCTGTTGCATTGTACTTTGCACTTGCTAAAAATATAACATTTTTAATTTTAGATGTCGCAAATACGACTCTGTCCCACAAAACTGCATTCTTGTGGCAGATCCCAAGGATCCTCAATGCTGTAAGGTACCCTCCTGTATCCCAGGACCCAATGGTTTCCCCACCCCCACCCCAGGACCTGATGGATCCACTGTCGCTCCACAACTCATCACCAATGTCCCAGTAGGCGTGGTCACAGGATACGCCAAGCCAACACCCACAGCCACCCCTGCTCCCGTCCCAGTGGGAGGAACAACAGCCAAGCCCATGCCAACACCTGCTCCCCCAAGTGGGTTCTCTTTCAAAAAGTTACTTCCCTCATTTACATCAGAGGATATGGTGAAACAAAAAATACTTTGCAAAGTTATTTCATGAAGAAACTTATTTTTATGTATGATATTTTTGATTATTTTGTAGATGTCTGTGTATATAAGGGAGTCCAGTATGCTCAGGGACAGAGATGGCAAGACGGATGCTTATATAACTGTGTCTGTGAGAATGGAATGACTGGAAAATACAAGTGTACTGAGAGGTTAGTGATTTTACAGTAAATTAAGGTAAGTCACTCGTCAGCTTTTTAGAAAAGTTCACGCAGAAGCTTTTACTTCAAAACTACTTATTAAAATTCAATTTTTATAACATATTTAAATTTAACAATGTAAATTTCTTAACATTCAATGAAAAAACTGTCAAAAATCTAAAGAAGCAAGATTTAAGGGACTACTTTTGGTGGAAGGATATTTAGCAGAAAATTCTGCAAATCTGCACATTTATAAAATTTAATGTAATGGAAATTTAGCCTCACATACATTTACTCGGAGAATATTTTCCGTTTTGATATTGCTAAAAAAATTTAATATAGGTCTTAATTAATATTTTTAGACTAAGTTTTACACCTTCCCTCAACAAACTTATCCAAAAAATGAAAATATATTAAAGAAGTCAAGATCAAATTTACACCATGTTTTACCTGAAAATCAAATATTTTGACAAATATTTCAAAATTAACATCACTGACCTAGCCTTTTTCTTTCATTATTTTAAACTACTCGATACTTGTGACTGATCAGCCCTTAAGTCGTAAAAAGTTTGATATAAGAAAATTTTTTATTGCCTATTAAGTTTTTTAATACCCCAAATATGTTATTTCTTGGTGCAAAAAGGTCACACAATATATTACGCGCATTAATTTGTAAGATTTGTTTAATGATAGATATTATTCAAGCTATTTAACGTAAAATAAGATTATATTTATTGCCATGCTTACATCATATCAAATATAATGAGGGTTAAAGTAATTAACCAAAGAGATGAAATTTAAGTGCAAAAAGGTCAACTTAAATGTACCGTAGATCAGTAGGATGCACACTGACCCCCTATTTTCTTTGCGATTTTGAGTTACACTTTATGAGTACTTATCCAAAATATACTTCTCAAAGAATCCTTGATTTAACAAATTTTAGGAGTGACTTACCTTAAGAACATAGAAATGTCAATGATTGAAGACTCGAAAAACTCTCATCAGGAAAAATGAATTTAATGTATTTAAAGAAAAGAAATGACTTAAATATCTGAGATTATATTGTCCTTATTGTATGACAGATGTGCAGCCTACCCAGCCCTGCCTCCCTACTGTAAACTGGTACAGGATCCTAATGACTACTGCTGTCAGCAGCCTCTGTGTAACTACCAGACACAAGCCCCATCTGTCCCCCCATCACTGACCCCCAGCCCCGCTCCAGGACACCCCACGGTGGCTCCAAACCCTAACGCCACACCAGCTCCAAATCCTAATGCCACACCAGCACCCAATCCTCTGGGTAAGCAGACAGGTTTTGATGCACAGCACTTAACCATATATACATGCTGTACATGTATGTACCACAAAAAAGAGGTATTTTACAAACTCACAAATTCTGTGTTGGTGAAAAAATATGCATGTAAATGTTGTTATTGCAGCTGTGTGTGTATACAAGGGAATTACCTACCAGCAGGGTGCTACTTGGAATGAGGGCTGTGTGAAGAGATGTCGCTGTGATGATGCTGACAAGAATATCTACACATGTTTTGACAGGTAACTTAACCACCTCCACCCTGTTTATTTTCTGCATGCTGTATTTCATTAGGTTTATTTTATTTTCTTCAAATGCCATCTTTGATCACATAAAATCTACATATATTTAGGATTTTTTGAATTTTAGGAATAAAAATGACAGATACATGCATTATTCAAATGATACATGTACTGTGTGTTTTGCTGCAACTAGAGAGAGTTGAATTTTAAGACAATCAGTACTTATTTTTATTCAGTTTGTTTCTTTCTGGGTGAAATGAATTGTTCACAGATTTACATAAAATCTAATTTGCTGTTTCTCCTGTAGATGTCCATCCTACAAACTGAACCCAGGCTGTGTGATGACCACAGATCCCAAAGACCCCTGCTGTCAGGTGCCCTCTTGTACTGTGATCCCCACACCACTGCCAGTCAATACACCATCCCCAATGCCAGGAATGAACACTGTGGTGCCAGGAACTGTCCCCACCCCTGTCCCATCAGCCTACCCATCTCCAATCCCCACCGGACAAGTGGGTACCATTGTAGGAAAACCCCAGGTTCCTCCTCTCAGAGGTCAGTAGACATTTACCTATTGAATAAAAATTCAGGTTTCCTCTCAGAGTCATTAAACTGATTTTGTAGCATAAGCAATAAGATAGAACCTGTGAGGCAAATTGAATGGCATGTATATTACAGCATTGTGTGACTACAAGGGAATGCAGTATGCTACGGGACAAAAATGGCAGGATGGTTGTCAGTATGACTGTGAATGTATTGATGGAATGACTGGACAGTACAGATGTACTGAGAAGTATGTAATCTTTGTAATGATAATTTGCTTCATTCATATTTCTTTCTTTTGATAATAGAATTCATCACTGATTTTCAATGTATCTTAATATATTTATAAAGGTGTCCAAGATATCCCCAAATCCCAAGTTACTGCATCTTGGCACAGGATCCTAAAGAGCCGTGCTGTAAAGTCCCAGTCTGTACTACTGTTGCTCCCACACCACAGCCTGGTGTAACCCCCACCCCAGGAGCAATAAAAACCCCCCTCCCAGGATCCACCTTCCCACCAACACTGATGCCCCCTGTGACCCCAGGACCCATACCCACTCCACCACAACCAAAGAGTAAGGTTTTTTAAAAATCTCTTTTATCATAGAAAAATAATTAACATAGTAAAAGTGAAATTTTAATTATTATGAGGGATGTTTTTTAATTTGATGTCTTTGTTTATAGACAATGTCCTTGAATAATAGTTAGAGAGAGAAATTAGACAAGCATAAAAAATATTCATTTAGAAAAATATTATATACAGTGTGTATATATAATTATACAAACATGTATGATAAATAATATAATAAATAATTGTATATTTGAACACTGTAGATGTGTGCATCATGAATGGCAAATCCTACACACAAGGACAACAGTGGGATGATGGATGTAAACAGATTTGTGTTTGTGATGATGGAACAACAGGTCACTACACTTGCAGATCAAGGTATTGCTATACCAAATAATTTTTCTAGTCATAAATGTTTGTGTCATTAATCCTACAATCATTGTCTGTGATATAAAAATTGAAACTAGTTTGAATTTTATTTTTTTTCAGATGTGCTCAGTATCCTAACATTGCACCAACCTGCATCATGGTTCCAGATCCCAATGATCCCAAATGTTGCCAGATTCCACAGTGTGACCAGACCAATCCTAACCAGCCATCCGGAGTCACTGGCAGCATCACTGGCACCAATCCCCCAACTCCAGTACCAAATGTCACTCCAACTCCCAACCCTAATCCCAATCCCAATGTCAGTCCTACACCAAATCCTTATCCAAATCCAACACCTTACCCAGGAGGCACCTACCCTCCCTATCTGATCCCATCAGTGGGACCCAATGTGACACCAGCTCCAGGAACACAGACCACACAGGCACCTCCTGTAACTCCTCAGCCTAGTAAGTGTAGACACCTTTCTTGACCTTGGACCTGATTCAATCAGGTGACTATATTGCTTTTGGTCCCCATCTTTTATTGTTGGGAGGTTTTAATATACTTGCAGTTTCTTCTCAAAAATAAGCAAAACCAATTCTTACCATTTATTATCTGTTTGTAATTATGATTAGAGTACCAGTATTGGGATCAAATCCATCAAAAATTTCATATGATCCCTAAAAGTCCTGTACAATAATGTGAATATTCTTTTTTTCCATGCAGTCAAAATTTTCGAACGGATTGAAATTTGTCTTGCATAGTAAAAGTGAATTGACCAGGAACATTATACCAAAAAAAATTTTTTAAATATTTTTATTCCAAAGTATGTCACATGAGTTCAAAATTCAAATCCCAGACAGGGTTGCTCTTGATCTTAGGATAAGTGACTTATGCTTCTCCCATGATTATGAAGAATATGATCCTCTTGTTCTACTTAAAATTTTCTTGGAGGGATAAGATGATTTTTTTATTGCCAGAGGTCTGCATATACAAGGGCAAGGCCTACACCCAGGGACAGAAATGGAGAGATGGATGTGACTACAACTGTGAGTGTCTGGACGGAATGACCGGCAAATATGTGTGTACAGAAATGTAAGTGTGTCATTGCTGTTTATTTCCCATCTCATTTTATAGAATGTGATGCTTTGACACTGTAATGCAACTTTAAGCTTGAAAAAATGTTAAAATGACACCAAAATGCAAGTTTTAGCTTTAAAAAATGTTAAAATGACACCAAAATGCAAGTTTTAGCTTTAAAAAATGTTAAAATCACTGTTTACTTAATTAAAGATTATTCTAAATTCTTGTCCTGTAGCTGCCCCCGCTACCCCAATCTGCCGGTGGGATGTGTCATGGTCAATGACCCGGCCAATCCTTGCTGTAAGAAGCCAGACTGCAGTAACCCAACTCCTCTACCAGTCCTGACCCCAAGTCCTAAACCAGGAGTCAGCCCCACACCGGCCCCCATGAACACACCCACTCCAAGTATGTAGTTAATAAGACAGTTAACATAGAAAGAGATAATGCACTTTGCTTAACTACATGTATTTGGTTTGAGTTTCATAAAAAGATACATGTTCTTGTCAGGAAATAGAATATAATTGTTTTGTATGAATAGGAGTATGGATGTAGGGAGCCAGTAAAGCATGTGACAGAGTGATTATGCTGAATTTGAATAATCTTTTTCTGTAGGTTTCTGTGTCTACAATGGAATCCCCTACCAGGCAGGCAAGACATTTGAGGACGGCTGCGACAAGATCTGTACCTGTGAGAATGGCATGGCTGGCCAGGTGACATGTAAAGACAGGTAGGTTTTCTTATTTTTTAGGAATTGAAAGTTAAATCACTTGAATCAAGATTGCATATTAGATGAAATTATGGGTCTATGTTCAAGTGATATGAACTAACAAAATGATGGTGCAATAACAAAATTGTTATCCTCATATACACTTTGAATAAGTAAAATTGTTGCAATTTTGAAAAAAAAATGCTATAATTTTTTAAATCTCTAAAATGATTTAAAAAGCATGAATATTGATATTTTAAGATGTTAAGGAACAATAAGAGATAAATCAGTATGCTGTTTGTAGATGCCCCACCTTCCCCCCATTGAAGGCTGGCTGTAAGATGGTGACAGACCCTAATGACAAGTGTTGTCAGACACCAAACTGTGTGGATCCCATCACTCTCACCCCCTACAGCCCTGGTGGTACCATTGACGGAGGAAATGTCCCCAATCAACCTGGCTCCCCTGTCACCGGTGGCAGAAGTAAGAAGGCTTTTGTTGAACCAAAGAAGCTGCAATAAATTAGAAATTAAAGAATGTGACAGTTATTTGATGATCAGGAGTTCTGAGAACTTAAGCAAGTTTAGAGTCCGTTTCTTGATTTTATTTTTAATATATCATTATTTGTTGATTTGTAGATGTGTGTGTATACAATGGAAAGATTTACACTCAGGGACAACAGTGGGATGATGGATGTACCTACCACTGTGTGTGTCTGGACGCCAGCACTGGTCACTACCAGTGTACAGAGAAGTAAGCTCTGATTTTGCATTGTCCAGTATTCAGCTTGGCAGTAACTTTGAGAATGTAGAATTGCAGAAAGGATGGGGGGAGGGGTATAAAAAATCAACTTTTTCTGTAAAATTATTTAAAAATAAAATATCTGAACTGATTAGAAAGAGGCTCCATAATTGTATCTGACTTAACCATTTCAACATGGTAATGTTGTGTAACAAAATTATTGTATTTTCTGATGGCCTTTTTTCTATAAAATCATTATTTAGTTTTTGCCTTTTGTCAGTAACCAAATAATAGTCAATGTACACAAGAATGTACATGTCCGTAAACTTGTACTATATCTAATTACTGGAGGTACAATAATTGATGAGAATGGAAATATGATGAAAAGACGTCATATTTACAAAAATCAGAAAATTGTGTACATTAAATACTTAGAAGAAATGACCATTATCCATCACTTTCAAAAATGACTGATTTCAGTACCACCCCTGACTGAATAATAGTCAATGTACACAAGAATGTACATGTCCGTAAACTTGGGAGGTACAATATCTAAGACATATTTACTTTTAAACAGATGTAACAGAGTTCCACAGTTGCCTTCCTACTGTACAATGGTTAACGATCCAAACAACCAATGTTGTCAGATGCCCTACTGCCAGAACCCCAACCCAACACCTGCACCCACACTCTCACCTAATGGCTCCCCTACACAGGTAAGTGATACACTGCCACAGCAGGAAAACAACTGCTCTTCATGGGCATTATCTGGAATTTTGAGGAAAATACTTAAAATGTTGATTTTGAAGTTTTTAAAGATATTTTTTATTTTATAAAAAAAAAAAAAACTGTTTATAGGTATATTTTGTATCAATGTCTGACTTCCAGTTTTAGAGCTAATATTGTTTCATTAATTTTATAGCCACCAAGCCCTGGACCAAATGTGAACCCTACACCAGCTCCCAAGCCTAAAGGTTTATATATTGTTACTTCTCATTAAGATATGATACACAGAAATATTTCTTATGAAGTATTAATAATGAGTTTAAAAAAATAAAATAATGGTGCAATATAATTAATTTTTAGACTATACTATTTTAACTTTCAAGGTTAAAGTGCCAAAAAGTGCCAATAATTATATGGGAAAACCCCAAATTAAATATAGTATTTAAGTAACATTGTATTGTGACTATTGCAGATGTGTGTGTATTTAAGAACAGCCAGTACTACAAACAGGACCAGCAGTGGTATGATGGATGTAATGCTGTGTGTCGATGTGAGAACGCAGCCACAGGCTACTACAGATGTCAGGAAAGGTCAGATTTAGGGGTTGTGTGTGGAATCTTATAATAGTCCTTCTTCTAATTAATATTGTCTACTGTGATTCAAACTTAACGGGTAGAGGCTGTCTTATAAATTCAAAGTTTTTCAATGAAATGTCATTGAACGTTTCAGATGTGCAAGATACACCAGTGTACCGTCTGAGTGTACTCTGGTTCCTGACCCCAAAGACCCATCATGTTGTCAAGTACCAAAATGCCCAGTTAAGCCTACAGCTGGCCCAGTGCCCACCCCAGGATTTGTGCCCACACCGATCACTGTTAAGCCAGGAGTACTGACCGGTCTCGCCCCTGTGCCCACAAATCAGCCCACACCTTCCCCAGCCCCAGGCCAGACACCTGGACCAACTCTGGCACCACCTCTGCCCAAGTCTGGTATGTCCATTTCCAACATATTTTTTTGAATCATAACGACATTTTATGAATTTATAATTTTAAAAATTTTGAATGTTAAAATGAGAAATGCAGTATCGATTTATTCTTAACAGGATGTTACTACAAGGGTGTGGTTTACAACAAGGGAGTGAACTGGTCTGATGGTTGTCAGTATGATTGTGTTTGTTTGGATGATATGACAGGACAGTACAAGTGTACTGAAAAGTAAGTCTTTCCTTCAGATGCTGTTTTCTAACCAATGTTAGCTTTGAAAATATTCAAAAATATGTCTACATGTCATGTTTTGTTTATGAATTGTTGATAGGGGTCATACTTTGTTTAAATCAAATACCTCATTTCATAGGTGCACCAAGTATCCCAACCTGGATAGTCACTGTGTTTTGATTCAGGACCCACAAAATCCATGCTGCCAGAAGCCTTACTGCGACTTTGTCAACCCTACACCATTCCCTAATGGCATCCCCACCCCACAGCCCATCATGACCCCTTCACCACTGCCAGGTAACCCCTCAGTGGCCCCCAACACTGTACCCACACCAGCTCCTAACCCCACACGAGCCCCTCCCCCGGGATACTGTGTGTACAAGGGTGTGTTCTACACTCAGGGTCAGACTTGGAATGATGGCTGTGACAAGACCTGTCAGTGTGACGATGTGACAACGGGATACATCTCCTGTCATCCAAGGTGTGTAGTCAGCAATATAGCTTACAAATAGGATATACATGTTCAATACTCAAGTCCCCCAACCCCCACAGGAAGATATGAAAGTGTTAGGTTGTAGACATATACTATGTATATAATGCATGGTGCTTTTTAGTAATATGAAAGAGGGCATTTTCATTTGTTCTCACTAGTATTTAAATTTAGACATCAGGTACTTGTAGCTTTTGTAAGGAAAACAATAACAGAGAGACAAGTGACTGACTTAAATAGAAATAATTATTGTACATTTTTTTATTATTTGTAGATGCCGAACCTACCCAAGTGTTCCAGCTGGCTGTGTCCTAAAAACAGATCCTAAAGACAGTTGCTGTGTGGCCCCAGACTGCAACAAGCCCAACGCCTTGAACCCAACCCCTCAACCTAATCCCACACCAGGACCCGGTGGTGTCACATTGAACCCCCAGTTGAACCCCAGCACTAGTGGCATCATGATCTACCCCTCACCGGTCCCCACTGGAAGCTTCATAGGAAGTGGCATCAACCCAGGAACCAGTGGTTCAGGCTCAGGCTTCCCTGGCTCTAACATTATTACTGGATCTGGAAGTTAGTTTGTTTTATCTCTAGTGTGCATTTTTGTTTTAGTGTACATTTATTCTGAGAAAGAGAGATTTTACTATGAACTGCTGTATAGGCGATTAATTTCATAGGTTATAGTTTTCATGTCTTTTCTCTCCTCCAACAAGATTGTGATTTTTTGAATTCACAGAATTGGTTTAAAATTAAAGTCCCCCCCCCTTGTCTTTATCCCTGTAATCCATAGCATAGCTAGAACAACATCAATCAGCATCACATGTATGTATTCATTTCATGAACAACAGGGTGCCCAGTACATATGAAATAATTAGATTTAATAGTTCATCTATGATTAATTAAAACAAGTGTTGTTATTAGAAGTCTTTGACAATAGATGCCAAATTACTTGCCTATCTACAGCCTACTCACACCCTAAATTTTTTTTCGAAGGGATAAAAAATTGCTGGGAAAAAACATTGGACTGTAATAAATCTTGAGTTTATCAGAATCTAGGGTCGAGTTTATTTCTTTAGAGAATCATTTTGAATTTCTTCGCTGTTTATGAATGTTTACTGTAAATTTTAAACCCATAACATTTTTGCAGGGGCCTGTATCTACAAGGGTGTGGCCTACAACCAAGGAGATAAATGGGAGGATAACTGCCAGTATAAGTGTGAGTGTATCGATGCCAGTCGAGGACAGTACAAGTGCACAGACAGGTAGGTGTATCATCACATTTATCTCTGTCTTCTGCTGTGCACAGACTAATCTTTATGACATAACCTTAACTGATTGTGAGTTTTGACCATTGAATTGAAAATATATTATTGCAGTGTTTTGTGATTTTCATGTTAAAATTTTTACTTTCTAAGATTTTATAGTCATAATCTCTCAGTAAAAATAAGTTGTAGGAGAGAGTGGTAGCAGAAATTTTATTAACAGCAGGTTTAACAATAGTAGCAGGTTTAACAATAGGTTTTCAATTGATCAATTTTGTTCTGGACAGATGCTACACCTACCCACCACTTCCACCACAGTGCAGCTATGAGCGTGACCCCAATGATGCCTGCTGTCAGATTGCCAAGTGTTCCCCTTACATACCAACCTTCAATCCAACAGTGGGTCCCAACACAGTACCTGTCATCACACCCACACCCGGACCTAACACACCTGTCGTTGTCAACCCAGGGACTACCAAACCTATAGGAGGCTCCCAGACCACTAGACCAATTATCATCAATCCTAACACCAATCCACCTGTCACGGGAACTCCAACCACTCAGAATCCCATCGTTATTAATCCCGGCAGCAATACTCCCGGCACTGGCTCTAACACCACTCCAAAACCATCAAGTAAGTAAAAGAGATATGACTGTGTTTTAGTTTTACCACTAAATAAACACAAAATCTCAAAAAATTAAATTATGTGAAACACCCTGTTTACTTCTACATGTACAGTAAAACATCATGCTTATAATAAAGTGCTAGGGACAGTCAATTTTGCTTATTATAAAAGTACTTGGTTATGTCCATTAAGTTCACAAGCTGTATATTAAAGCCATGGGGAGTGAAAATCTCTTTTCTGTAGATGTCAATTTATTTTAAGCAATTTCTACTTAACAGAGATTCAAGTAACTGGAAAGGTACTTTAAGGTCAGACGAGACGTTCTTAAAAATCTGTTTTGTATATCTACCCCTGGTATCTTCCAGAAATGCCTGGTAAGGTACCTCAATATTTTGTAAATAAACATGTTTAAGTAGCAATACTTCAATGACAAACTCTTAGCAATATTTTTCTATTATTAAGGAACGTCTTGTCTGTTCCTTAATAGAGAAGATTAAAAACCACTTTTGTAGGGAAACTTTTAACTTTGATTATCAAGGATCTTTTTTTGTTGACAATACAATGCTTTATAGCTGTATATACCTGTATTGTAGACATGTGCCTGTACAAGGGAGGCCTTCACCCACAAGGCTCAAACTGGCAGGATGGATGTGATTACACTTGTTATTGTGTGGATGCTATGTCCAATAGCTACAGATGTCAGGCCAGGTCTGTCACAGACAAATATACAAACAGGCCCAGATCAAAAAAATAGATAAAGCATTTGAAGTTTATAGAGTCATTTAGACCATGACAGAATTTATGGATAAAAGAACGAATGTTAAAATAAAAACAACAACATGATGTTTGTTGATACAAATGGGTGATCTTAGGTACTTTGATCATGTAAACATTGATTAATGTGTTCTCAAACATACATTTGCACATAAAATTCTTTGCAAAAAATTTTTAAAAATTGACTTCTTGATTGAAACATGAATAGCACCAGTGATGAAAATGTCTGATGCCAAGTGGCTGTACGGCTCAATGTATAGTACTACTGTATATACTCGCCTATAAGTCGGTCCGCCTATAAGTCGGTTGTACTTTTTTATGTTATTTTGGTGGTATTTGCGATTGACCCGCTTATAAGTCGGTACAATTTTTTGCCAAAATCGGATGACTATTTCAAGTTAATCCATTGATGTTTTAACCTGGTTTCAATTTATATTTTTTAAAATGAGATCGATATTTAATCTTGAATCATTAAATAAACAAGTAGTGCTCACTTAAGATACAAATAAATTATGAAAATGTAAATAATTGTACTTTACAATATAAGAATGCATCAAATATCATATATATCCAGGTATTATCTTCGATAATCGTCGGAAATACTACATTTCAGCGTCCAGAAAAAATACCAATAACTATGACTCGCCTATAAGTCGGACATAGAGTTTAAGACCAAAACTTAACTCCGAAAAAAACGACTTATAGGCGAGTATATACGGTATAAAGATTATTTCATTGTTTTATCACGCCAATTATTTTGTTTTTCAGATGTAAGACCTTCTCCTCCATCCCATCGTACTGCCACCTGATCCCAGATCCCGCGGACCAATGTTGTGAGAAGATAGAGTGCACTGCTCCTAACGGTCAGGTCCTCACCCCACAGATCCCAAGCGGACCCACAGTTTCGCCAACTCTGGCCCCCAGCATTCAGCATGTGATCCCTGTAGGAACCCACCAGGTCTTCACAGGATCAGGACAGCCTAACTTCCCTATTGGTGGAGCCCCAGGAACTTCTGGAAGTAGAAGTAATCAATCTATTAAAAATTATACAGAGGCTGCACAGTTAAATTTTTATTTTACTTCAATAGAAGTTTGAAGGGGTTTAATGCTGTTTCTAAATGGAAGGGAGGTAAATGGAAATTTCATTTTCCTCATTTTTTTTTCAAAAGGTGGATGTGTATACAAGAGCACAGTTTATCATCAAGGACAGTCCTGGGATGATGGATGTAAATACGTGTGCAGCTGTCAAGATGAAGCCACTGGTCTTTACAAATGTACATCTAAGTAAGTTCTTTTATTCAGTCTTTTGTACAATACATTTTCAAGGGAAATGTAAAAGATATTTCTCAAAAAAGATTGCAGTTAAGTTCTCAAAAGGGTAAACTTGCCATTATTTCAGAAAGCTTGTAATTGGGTCAGACAATTTGAAAGTGGGCTTTACTCACAAAAGAGGAGTCTGTTGATAAAAAGATATTCCAGTTTATTTCAAAGTCTTTATTAAAATAAGAGATGAATGTTTCTGGATTTTATAATCATTGGATTTCACATCCATTTTTCCAAACAGGTGCCCCACTTACCCACCCCTGCCCAGCTATTGTAGTTTTGTTAATGTACCTGGACAATGCTGCCCCACTCTCAGCTGTAACAGTCCTGACTTTGGCAAATACAACCCTGCTCCCCAACTGTACCCCACTCCAGCTCCCTCTGTTCAACCCTCTCTGGCACCCCACGTCATCAACCCAGGCTACAACCCAGGAACCAGTGGCAGCCAAGTGGTACCAGGCACCGTAGCAACAGGATTCACCGGAAGTAGAAACAGTAAGCAATGACCCATAGCAAGTTATGATATACTGTACATTAATAAATTCAACACAAGGCATATGCGTGTGTTATATTGCATTCACATACATGTAAATACTTTACTGTCAAGATTACTGAATTATGTCTAAATGATTTTTCAGGTCTCTGTATCTACAAAAATAAACTGTACAACCAGGGAGATAAATGGGATGATGGATGTGAATATTCTTGTGAATGTAAAGATGCAAACAGTGGATACTATGAGTGTACACCTAAGTAAGTTTTCTTTGATACTCTGTTTTATCAAATTGAGAAAGGAAATTAATTGTATAACGGATAATACAGGAGGTATCTTTGTTGAAGATTTGAAACACCTTGGATTTTTTTCATTGATAAATCTTGAACTTAAGGTCAAGCATTGTTATCAGACTAACAAAACTGATTGAAACTGCAAGAGTTTATTTCTCAATTCTGAAACTGTAAGTGAAAGTGGTTTTTTTTTTTTTTTTTAATCAGATGCCCGAACTACAACCTCCCATCCAACTGTTACCTGATGCGAGCTGGAGGAGATTGCTGTCCACAGCCCATGTGTAGAAATCCAGATGGCAGCACCGTCAACCCTCTGACCTCTCCAGGGTCCCAGTACCCTGTGTTTGGAACCTACCCCGGGGGCTTCACAGGATTCCGACCCGGATATGTTCAACCTTCAACCTCAGGCACATCATTCACAAACCACTCAAGTGAGTTTATTTATTTCTTTTGGTCCTAAGAGTAACAATGTGTGCATATCTATCTGTAAGCATTGATTTTATAGAAAGGAGGGAGTGGGTTTATGGCAGATAAATAGAATTGAGGAAGTAACTAAACTTATATGCTGTAACAAAATTCTCTAGGAATTTAATTGTTGCAATCGGTGACTGATGAAAACAGAAATGTGTGATGTTCATTAAAATAATTGAGCATACAGAGTGTTAATTTAAGAACCTGTTCTTTAACTTGACCTGAATTGAGAATGCCTTTCTGAAACTGTATTACAGTAATCTAATGCAGAAATTTAGAAGTAATTGAGTGATGAGAAGAAAAAAAAATCCTATGTTCATATATCAAACTTTATCTTAAATTCGATGGGAATGTAGTCCATTTAGAATAAAATAATGGGAAGGTAATTTTGTTGGATTACAGATGTATGTATCTACAAGGGCTCAGTGTACAGACAGGGTAACACTTGGGAGGATGGATGTGACTTCACCTGTACCTGTGTGGACGAGTCCAGAGGAATATACCAATGTACTGCCAGGTAAACATTCTCAGACTTGATGTTATCTGGTTATTGGCTCTGAACAGGGCCTTTTCAATGAAAATAAAGATATTCCATGTGTTGTATTTTATCAGAGAAATTTTAAGTCTTATTTCTGTTAGTGAAATAATTTGGCTGGGAAATCAGACTTTTAACTTATTAATAAGCTGTCTTTTTTGAGACTCAAATATAGGTTCAAACAATGATTTTTTTTAAAAATGCAGGCAGTTGCTTTCAATGAAAATTAAAACATGGATTCAATGAGAGATCGTTTCACTCTATGTTACAAACTGGCACGTTCATTCCATAATCTGACTGTTTCTTTCCACAGATGTAAGACCTACACTTCTCTCCCATCAGTCTGCAGGCTCTATGACGTTCCTGGTGAATGCTGTTCTGAAGTCAGATGTAAGACCACAGACACTTCCCCCACCCCTCCAGTCATCGGCTTCTCCACCCCCAGGCCTTACCTCGACCCACTCTGCCACGACACCATCGACAACTGTAAGAGCTATCAAAAGGATGTGGCCTGTCACGGCGCCTACGAACCATGGGCAAGAACTCACTGTAACCTGACCTGTGGATTCTGCAGTAAGTAGTATTGTCTGTATGCTAGAAACAAGAGTAAAGCCTTGCTGGTTTGCATGCTCAGTAAGATTTGATTTTTGTTTTCTTGGGGCTTACATGTTTACTCTCTTATTAGTTACATGGACATGGACTAATTTCTTTTAATGTCTTTACCCTTTAGTGGACCAGGTCTATAATTAGGGATGTCAAAATATTTATTTTCCTTAGTTGATAACTGTATACAGGTAAATTTTCACCCTGTTTATTTTCGCCCTTTCGCGCTAACCTTGCTTTGGGGAATTTAAAACGGGCAAATTCAAAGAATTTAGTATAATTTCTTAAACAAAATTGATTGGGTGAATTCAAGATAGAGCACAACTGTTTGTGAGTGTGAAAGGGAGAAAATAAAGCATGGTGGAAATAATCTTGTTTTCAGTATTCACTTGCATTATTCAAACAAAAGTTGTACCTGTATATGCAGAACATTTTCTGAAAATAAGATTTGAATTCATTTCAGACTTCACTAGTACATGATTTCTCTATAACACAAAACCCTTTTATTTAAATCTATTCAAAAAGTAACTATGGTTCTTTTCAGCCCCAGCAGTTGTAGTACCAACAGTCTGTGCTGACAGAATTAGCAACTGTGCCCAGTATGGTAAATCAGTCTGCCAGGGAACTTATCAACCATGGGCCACCGACAACTGTGCTAAATACTGCGGACTTTGTCAGAGTAAGTCAGATTAGAGGGAGAGTATTTTCATTTGAAAAAAAGAGCCTCTTCTATTAGTACATGTATAAGGTTTCCTAAATATTCCCTTTGCTTAATTGTTCAGATACACCCAAAAATATTCAATACTTCAATTAGTTCTTGCATTTATATTACTTTTGAATGCATTGAAAACAGGTTTGCATGATATCCCACCCTTTGTATGTATCCCAGGAATATTTTATACTGGTTGTTAAAATATCTCAGGTTACATCACAAGGTAATCATACCACTTTTTTTTCAATTTTTTTTCTATTTATAGCTTCTGGAGGATCCCCAACAACCCCAGCCCCCACAGTAAACACAGGTTGTCAGAATAAGATCAACAACTGCCCGGCCTTTGGAAAGAGTGCGTGTACGGGACAGTTTGAGCCCTGGGCCCGGGACAACTGTCGTCTCTACTGTGGATTCTGCAGTAAGTAGGAAACAGTTTCACTTGGTATCTGATTCATTTAAATTTTTCAAGAGTTAATGAAAATTTTCAGTTATTAGATTTAAACGTTTTTTCCCCCAAAATTAGAGATTTCATTTAGTTGGTTAAACTTCCACAATTCCTCATGAACACTGGGCAGATGACATTTTTTCAAGATCAGAAACATATGTGTTTCAGTGATTATTACTTACTGAAATTCAACATCATCTAAATCTACTGAAATTCAACATTATCAAATTTTATGTGTTATTATTACAGTGAACCTTACATTGTTCCATTTATGATTAGAATAAAATTTTATTTAAGATAGATGCAATGTTACTAGAGGTACCTGATCTTATTAATAATTACCAATGATTATTTACAACAGGTTCCACTGGATCAGTAATCAACTACCAGGTTATGCCTCCCACAGGTACGTACCTCTATTTATGTTACAAACAACTACCTCAAATAAGTTTTGTCTTTGGCTTTAGTTGTCACATTATGGCTGCAATCAATAAGTAATCTATGATTCAAGGGTATATTGTAATCAGATTTTAAAGAAACAGCTGCTTGTAAGCAGATTGATATATTGCAGTTGAGATTTGATGGGACATGTTTTAGTATTAAGTAAATTATGTTATACATTTATTATGTAAGATTTATAATGGACAGCTAGACTATAAGTATGCATACTTATGAAAGTTAACAAAGATAATTAAATGCAAATCAAAATTCTCCACTTCTTCATGTACATGAGCTGTACATTTTATTGATGTGTGTAAAATCTTAGATTTTTATCAAAACCCTCTGAATTTTAAAACAAACTTGACATAACTTTGTGTGTCTTTTGACAGGTTACACGACCCTGATGAAGGGAGTGGCTGGAGTCCCCGGAGATATGTACCAGATCTGGACGAGCCCTGCCACAATGAACACCAACAACCCCCAGGCCATGTATCTGACTAATCAGTTCAAAGGACATTACAAAACAGACCTATCACGCTGGAATGACATGTGTCTAGACAGGGTATTTGATAATACTGCTCATTTTTGTTGTTCAGAATTCAAAGATAGTTGAAAATTATGAAAATTGCTTTCACTCACTTTAGTAGGCATAAATCTTGGTATTAAATTGCAGATCAGGGTATCAATCTACAAGAATGGACAAGAGAAAGCCTACATTGAGTTCAATGCTGTTGGTGCCAACCAGAACAACTGGTTTGATCCCAGCAGAATCATCTCTTCTAGCTACACGGACATCAAAACAGCCGCCAAGGAAGTCTTCAGTATGATGGGGTCAGTATATACTGTATACAGGGTTATTTTCGCCCCGTGTTATTTTCACCCTTTCACACTGTAAAACAAATTTGCCCCGTTTTAAATTCGCCCATTTGTGAGTTTTGTTTAAGAAATTATACTGAATATTTTGAATTCGCCCCGTTTTAAATTCACCCTATTGAGGGTAGGGCGAAAGGGGTGAAAATAAAACGGGGGCAAAAATTTCCCTGTATACAGTATTGACAGGAAAATTCATTTCCTGATAAAATTCCTTTATCACATTTCACAGTTGAAAAATTTTTCAAGTGAAGAATGATGTCTAAACTTACAATATGTTCAGTCTAAATCATACTTAGAATATTTTGAGAGAAAAAAAAACAAAACTGATATCCATGTAATATATGTATGAATGATTTAAGCAAGAGTGTACCCCAGTATTTTTTGATGATTTCACAGAGACACCTCTACTGGTCGTGAGTTCCTTATGAGCCAGCATTCTAACTCTCAGTGTGACACTTATGGATGGATCATGATCTCCACTCAGAATAACTGCCCGTTCGAGGCCAGCTCTGGGGGCAAGCCTGCCTTCTTGTACGCACCAGGCCAAACCTCTTCCCACTTTGAACAAAGTAAGAACACAGTTCCCTCTCCACTTAAAAACATTTCTCAATTCTTATTGAGTTATAGCTTTTAATCAGCATTGCATCTTCTTAGTATGCAGTTGAATTTTTTGTATCTCAAACACTGATATCTCTACTAGCACCAGTCCTGATTGAAGTCCTAACTTCTTTTTTCTATAATTTGAACTTTGATATCAAATCTTCTAGGCTTTTTTTCCCCCAATCTACATAGTTCTAGATAATGAGCCCTTTAAAGCTTGATTTTTTTTTGTTTTGTTTTTTTTTGTTAATCGCCAATGGCAGTGCAGTTAGTAGACTGTAGAACTAGAATAATTGCCAAACAAATGCCTGTAATATTGGATTATCATCTTGAAAAATCAAGATTTCGAGCAAAATTTGCGTCAGATATTTTTTTCAATGTTTTATATTTAACTTTTCAGCTCAAGTTGGAACTGGAGATGTTCTGGCCATTATGGGACATCAGGGAACATGTAAGTAGAATGAATTTTGGCAACAGGTGTAAACATGTGTTATGGGACATTGCCAAAATTTCTCAACATCTTTAAAAAATGCATTTGTCTCATTTATTTCAGGCATTGCCACTATGATGCCCACTCAAATAATCACAAGCAGTAAGTAAACTTAATTGTTTACATTTTCTTTCAGTATTACATTGAAATACTTACCCTGAAAAGGGTCTTGGTATGTAAATTATTTGTAACGACTTGTATGTTGTAGGTTATGCCTGTGTGTACAACAACAAGGTCTACAACCAAGGAGACAGCTGGACGGATGGCTGCAAGTACAACTGTACTTGTACTGATGCCAGATATGGAAACTACCAGTGTTTGGAGCTGTAAGTGTCAGGGGCATAATCTGCATAGAAAACATTCAGCCACACAAGGGCTGTAAAGTTATCTATTCACCATTGCTCCCCCCCCAAAAAAAACAATTGATGACATGCAACTGAAGTTCTATGTAGTTGTCCTTTTTCAGTACAAAATAGCTATTTATCCCCTTCATCCCTCTACGTAATTACATGAAAAATGAGACATAAAAACTTTTAAAATTGTTCCTACTTTACAATAGTTTTTTGATCTACCTATGGTGAGCTAGCATACATAATTTTAACCTTTTATGATAACCATACATAATAATCAGAAACATTTTTGTAAAGTTCATCCAGTTGCTGGCAATTGATAACACTATTTGCTAGGAATATAGTTTCCTTTTTGTTACAACCATTCTTTTAGATGATTTAGATGGCATTTTAAAATGACACACACATATACATGTAGAAATTCTTAAAAATATGAATATGTTTCTATGATTCTCTTCTTTTTTTTTTCAGTTGCCCAACCTATTCTCATCTTCCACAAGGATGTTCACTTGTCAAACAACCAGGATCCTGCTGTGCCGTACCAGACTGTGGCACCCATGTCTACAACCCTAACAGCAATAATGCAGCTGAGAGAGGTATGGGGCAGGGATTGACGGGGATAGCAATATACTGAGAAGGGGGGGGGGGCTAGATAGGGAGATATAGGTGTATTAAGAAGAGAAAGAATATTCCCATGTTTACTTTTCTGGAGTTACTAATTTATGTGAGGAGATGGCATTAAATCTTCCTTCTTATTTAAAAAAAAAAACAATTGAATCACAAATTACACCATACGTATATGTATCTGATTATCATTAATGATATGCATACTCAAGCATAACAAGGTAACAATGCATGCACATCTTGTGAACAACAGGGTGAGTTCCAAGATGAGCATTTAACATTTTGTCTGCCTTTTTAGGTCTGTGTTACTACAAAGGAGATGTGTACTCCCAGGGAGAAAACTGGAATGATGGATGTGATTTCAAATGCACTTGTCTTGATGCCACCAACGGAAGATACCAGTGTAATCCAAAGTAAGTTCACCCTTGTTAGTTAGAGCTGCTGTATATTAGAATTAGTAAATTATAGGCACACTTGGCATATGTAGATCCACCCACATTCTTTGTATTTTGTGATTCTGTGTTTAAGATATTAAAAAAAATTAAATCTTGGTTTTAAAATTTTACTTTAACTAATCCTTTTCATTTTCCAGATGCATGAGCTGGCCAAGTCTGCCTGCGGGCTGCACACTGGAAGCCCCAGCACCAGGATTATGCTGTCAACAACCCAAGTGTCCATCTAATGTACAAATCAATTTCCCTCCGGGATACCAAATAGAATAGACACATTCTTTATAGGAACACTATTTATTTGTGCAATGTTTAACAAAGACTATACAATTGGTGCATACACTCTACAATTTGTTATTTAATAAAATTATATTTTGTTATTATTAGAGTTTCCTTTTATTTCATATAAAGTTTTGTCATGTTGAGGTTGACAGAAATATGCAATAGGCAGAAATGCTTATTTTTATTAATCATGGCAACACTTTTCAATAAAATTTAAAATGATAAATAGAATTATGTATCTTAATGTAGTCTACTTGCATGTAAATTATTTTTAAAACAGACTAAAACTGTATGCAGAGTATCATTTTCAACGTATTTCAAGGATATGTCTATATTAATAATGGCAACACCATTCATTAAATCTAAAACTGATAAAGGGAATTTTTTATTTTAGTGTAGTCTACTGAAGTGCGAAGTTATATTGAAATCATACCAAAGTGGAAGGAGTAGCATTTTGAAAAATTGTTTATAAATTGACGGATGACGAACACCTTACTATAAAATAATCTCTTCTGCATGTCTCTTACTAGCAGAGTTAAAAAGAAAAGATCAATAGGCCACATTGCTCACCTAAGTAACTTTGGCCCTGCTGTTCTTCACCAGGTTTCCCCCTTGTAATACTCATTGTAGCCCAAACCTACCAATGGGCACCATGATTTGAACAATTAAGAATCTGCTACCCCCAAGAATCTTTCATATGAGTTGTTTTTTTTTTTTGGGGGGGGGCCTGTGGTTCTTGAGAAAGTTTTTCTTTATATTTCAATGTTTATTTTGGATTCCCTTTAGTTTAGTGGTCCCATCCTACCCCTGGGGGCCATGATTTGGGATGGGGTAATCGTAATCAGTAATTCATTGAACAATTTAGATTCTACCCTACCCCAGAATGCTTTCACAGAATTTTAAACTTTTCTGGCCCATTAGTTCCTGTGAGGATTTTTTAGTGTATAACTTGTATTCCCTATTGTGGCCCCAGCCTACCCCTGAGGTATCAAGATTTGACCATTTAAGAACCTACACTACCCAAGGATGCTTCAAATAAGTTTCAGCTTTTATGGTCTAGTGGGTCTTTTAATTCCCCCACCCTGTAATTGTCTTCTTGATTATCTCCCCTTGTAAGGGAGCCTGGTCCTTTATTTTAACAAATTAAACTCTGATGCCTTGTGCTATTTTTGATAAAATTGACTCGATGGTTCTTGAGAAGCTAAAAGTGAAAAGGTTACAAAGCTTTCAGCTTAGGTGAGCTAAAAACAAGATGCAGGTCTATAAGAAATTTCAAATGAAGATGAAGAATCAGTATATGTTTTTCCCAGGAGAGACTTTAATGATGAAAAGACCAGTGTTCCTACTTATACTGTATACAGGATTATTTCCCCCTGTGTTATTTTTGCCCCTTAACACTTGCCCCGGCCATTTTAAATTCGCTCAATCAGAGTTCTGTTAAAGAAATTATACTTTGTTCTTTGAATTCACCTTGTTTTAAATTTGCCCACTTGTAACGGGCAAAAATAAAATGGGGGCAAATACTAGTACCGGTATTTCCCTGTACAGTAATGTTCTTTTATGAGAACTTTTTCACAAATGATCAAAGCACATTGTCAATATTTATTGCACACCATACTTAACAATTAGTACAAAAATAATCAGTCTTTGACTGAAAGTACAACTAACAAAACCAGCTGGGTTTAATAGTCCTGTGCTGAAGTCATGTTTCTTCCAACTGTTGGGATATTTGTTTATCACAACAAAGCAATCAATGGACCTATAAAACCCAATAGCTTTATCTTGAACATTTTGAGAAAGTCTTGAACACCAGATCAGGTTTTAGGCTTCGGAGGCTCCAAACAGTTTCCATCAGGATACTTCTCTTTGAACCTGCTCACGATGTCAGGGTCCTTTAATCTTACACCTTCTACTTGGTTGCCTAAGGTAATCCTGAAATACCCAGTGTAAACAGTGTTTAAGAAGTGGTGTTTGTGTTCTGATTTTTAAATACATGTATGTATTTACATCTGCTTTCCTTTTAACACAGTCATTCACCTTGTCAATTCAAGTAAAAACTTGCGTGTAATAAGAGTACTGTGGAAGCATAAAAATTTGTGGGGGACAATTTTCTTGGACTGCTTTAATTTTACAGGTTTGTGTGAAAATAGTGTGTTCATGCATTTGTACAAAAGAAAAGATGCCTCTGAAACCCCAAGTACATAATTTGTGGAGGATGTTGATTTGTGGATGAGATATGCTAAAATATTGAACCAACATGAAATCTAAAGATTCCCCAGTAGCTCTAACATGATTGTCCATAACCTCAACTCACCAGTTTGGCTGGACATTATGAGGACGACCGAATAACTCCACTTTCCTGGTGCCTGGTGACAATCTCTCTATAATTCCATAAACTTCATCTGGTTTATGACTAGTGGCCCTGACCTGTTCATAGTATATACCGGTAGTTAAAATATTATGCACACATTTGACAAACGTTCTGTTGGCAACAGCCTTCTATTATTTTTTATATATGTAATTTAAAAAGAGGTTTAAGAAAAATTAGTTTACATTGTATAACATGTGTTGCCTTCCTTACATGTACAACTTGCATCAATACACTTACTTGATGTACTACTTTTAAATTTTATTACAATTTGAAAGCAGTTTCTGAACAGAAATTTGTACCATTTTTTTTTATCCTTCATGATGGACAAGTCAATTAAATTTATATAAAGTGAATAAATTCAAGAGCCACATAATTTATTCCTGTAAATGTACTTGAAACCTGCAATGGAACAGTTCAAGCCTCCCCAAACCCCCGTTTTACAGTACAAAGTACAATTAAATTGAATCTATCAATTTACCTCTGCTACTAAAACATCACAGTCAAGACCACGATTAGCTCCCTTGGGATTACCTTTCACACCAACCTTAAAAAGAAAATAGTGTCTATAGTATAGCAGAGTCGGATATGTTATTGGTTACTCAAGACACTGGAAAGTTTACAGCTAAATGTAAGTTAACAAACCATAAACCTCGCTTAAGATTCATGGGCCACAATACTTGCTGATATCATTTCTTCTCAAATGTCCGATTTTATATAAGAAACTTGAATTTAAAGTTTAATCAACATTTTCCTTTTGATTTATTAATTAGAATGATCCAGTAGTTCTGGCAAGTCGAAAATGTTTTTAAAAAAGCTTTGAGAAGAAAAGCTTAGACATTTAGCGTGATATTTATGTCATTACGAGTTGATCTCTCTTATCAGAGCATCTATGAACCTTAAACATCACTCTTTCGATATTTCAATGAATGAGTTACAAACCAGACAGTGTTCTTTGCCGTGATTCAGCCAGTGTCCTGTTCTCCCAGTCCTGATAATTCTCTGTAGTTGATTGGTCTTCACCCAGATCAGCTCATCAATACGTTTATACCTGTAAGAATTTAACACATACTGTCAATATTTATCTTTATATTTAATCATACATACAACATTAATCAGCCCATTAATACATTTCTATCTGACTTGTGCAACACAAATTTGAGGCAAACATAAATCTAGTGACTAGTTAAGTAGATCAGTGTCCATTGTTTTATGTTCATATGGGGCCTTTATACTTTTCTATATATAATGTTGAAGAACCAAGCTTTTGTAGTTGACAAAAGAACCTACCCCCAGAGATCTAAACATTCTCTGCCTAACTCCATAGCCCTGAAACAAAAGATAGAGTACATGTAACTCATTGCACAGGTAGACTCAATGTTAATACATCGTATATATCTATAAACATGTACATGCAGGTGCAACTAGAGCCCCAAAAATGCTCAAATGAGAGGCATTGCATAAAAGGCAGTTTTATTAGACATACATAATTTTTTTTATTTTCTTTAAATCCTTTCAAAGAAAAAATTATTAGGAAATGCTAGCATATTTACATGTACATACACAAACCAGTAGAAATTGCCAATACAAACCTCCCCGTGACCCAGAGGAAAATAAATCCATCATCCTGAAGCACTGGAACATCTAGCTTCCTCATTTCATCGTCCTGCATCGTGCCGTACGGAAGCTCCATGTGGATATCCCAAGGAGGGTCAGCCATAACTACTGCACATTTCCCTAATGTTGACATGTCAAAGTGTCTTAGGTCACACTGTATCCACTGTTGAATGAAATCAGGACAAATCATGATATGGTGTATTTTTATAAGATATTTTTGTAATTATCTGAATGCAAAACAGTTAATATTACAGCTAAAAGTGCCAGCACATGCCATTTATGTACAGCTGAGTTCCTAAAACAATCTAAAACATCAACATTTTGAATACTGTTTGTAAAAGTGATAATGCAATACCACCCACTTTTTAATAAATATAAAAACAGTATTTTAACCCCAATATCTCAAATTCTTTGATCAATTCTCAATTTTGTTTTTCTCATGGACTTTTATCTAACCAAGCTTGACTAAATTTTGAGAAAGTTTTCTTTTTTTTTTTACATTTGCAGTTTGTTTCCAAAAATTACTAAACTGCCTATACTTTATACATATGTATGCTGTATCAAGGAAACAGAGTTTTTTACTTTGTTAGCATTCCGTACCTGAGGGGGAAACATGTGAACATCCCTGTCATTACTTTGGTCCAGAACAGACTTGGCCATCATCAACTCTTTCTTCATTCCTTCCATTTCATTTCTGGCAGGATAGTCTATCTCATAGTGGACATACTGTAAAACATCGATCAAGAAATTCAAATCTGAGGCATATACATATATTAAGGAATCTTCAAGTTCTAAAGATGAGTTCAAATTAGACATACTGTACATGTACAGTCAAACTTCGTTATCTCGAACCTGATGGGACTGAGAAAAAACTTTGAGATAACCGAGATGAGATATGGAAGGTAAAATACTTAAAGAATATGAAGTTGGGACTTCCAAATCGCTTCGACATATCCATGGTATTCGAGATATCGGAGAAAGGATACTGAAGTTCAACTGTATTTGGAAAATCAACTTGGATTGGTTTAAATTAGATACCTGTATCTAAAGTCTACAGAAACACACATTATATTCCACTGTATTAAACATACCTTGCATGTATCCATGTGAAAACAGGTGTTGAGAAATGAACAGTCACCAAGAGATTCTACAAGTATGGGAATATTTAGATCAACAATCATTGTGTTTTTTCTGATAAAACTGACAAATGTTGCACCTCAAAATTGTAAATTTTGTTTCTATCAAACTTTAATTACTTGTAAAGTGTGCGTAATTAGTAAATGATAAGAACAAGTTATCAGTGCTTTTGCCTTGATATTTATAACTTCAGTGGGAAGGGGGATAATATTTAGGCCCAAAAAAATTAATAAATAGTTTCTCAGGCCAAAAAATTCAAAATTCAATGCGGCAATTTTTGAGCAGATTTTACACCTTTTTTTAAAATTTTTCAATAAAATGATAATATCTACTAATTCTTAAAGAGATAATAACAGCATTGATGAAAAGGGGAATAACTCAATTTTCTTTTTTCAACTTGGAAAAATAGAAAATTGAGTTATTTCCCTTTTCAAAATGTCAATAAAATTGATCAATGGGCCGTTTTTGAAGTGATGCGGCGGTGCCTGAGAAACTATTGATTAATTTTTGTTGGCCTTATGACCAAATTTTTGAGCAAATTTTTCAGAAAAGAGAAATAACAGGGAAAAAAATAAGTCAGTTATATTACCATCTGTATGTTTGTGTATGATTTTTCTGAAATGAAGTCGATCACATTTCTCCTTGGATTCGTTCAACTTTTGACATTCCTCCTTGGTTCCATACTGACAGAATTCTTGCACTTGTACACCTGGAAAATGAGGTGGGAATACAGGCATTAAACCCTGACTGAAATGTTAATACATGTGTATCAGCAGGAATATTTTATGTATTACATAGAAAAATGGCCTCATGCAACCTCCAGGGCAGGAGAGGATAATTAAGTAAGCAAGTATTATATAGAAAGCACCTAAGCATGTAATATCATACTAGAAAGGATTTTAACTACTAAATTATTAACTGACTGTGGAAAATCATGATTGTGCTTTATATTGCATGACTTACAATTTCCCTAAAGTTGAATGCACTGAAATTAGTTTTTTGTTGTTTTTTTTAAAAATTTCGTTCATCTTACCTCCCTGAGACTTAAATCTTTTTACCAAGATTTGCTCCTGTTAAAAGAGAATAAATATCATTTCAAAATGCTGCAATATTTCTCCTCAAAGAGTAATGAAAAGTCTAAAAAGAAAGAGATTAGATTTTATCCTTTTTTTGCTCTATCACTCAGAGAAAATTTACCTTTGCTGTGGGATGTGCTAACAACTGTTGAATTTCTTCATTTACTTGCTTGCTAACTCTCTCTTTTGCTGATTGCATGGACAGTAAACTCTTAAAAAAAGTAGACAAATATATTTTTATGAAAATTAACCGAAATCAATTTTTCAATGCATACATGACCTAGTATATGATAATAAATACACAAGTGTCTGATCCCCTCATCCTGTTGCCAGTGAGGGGATACAAATCAGACACTTGACTATCGAAGATGCAGGTGCATTCATCAATATGTACTGTGTTTTCATCAATCTTCGTTGAGCACCAATTTTTCGAGGATTTCGTTGTTGATCAGATCCATGAAATTAAATATTCATGGACTTAAGAAATATGTCATTCATTTGTATAGGCAATGCTTTTGTCCACAAATTTTTCGCATCCTCGAAAATGTTTGTTTTACAAAATACACCTACACTGATGCCAATGAAAATTGATGAAACCACATTATATCACAATAATTAGGGTATTTACCTCAATGTCATCGATGCCTGCATCTGTGCTCTGCTGTTTTGATTGTTTTTGTGGTCGTTTGTTGTCTATATCATCATCTTCTCTACAATTCAAAATTTGGTGATTACAGAGGGAAGTTTAAGAGGAAAATACATGTCAAACTATTACATGTATTAGTACATGTACAGAGTAAAAGAATGTAAATTAAAGCATACTCCTCTCTTTTCCTCTTCTTTGATTGTGGATTTTTTATTACAGCTAACAACTGTAAAATAAACAGATAATTACCAGGTATTCTGTTGTATAAAACTTAATTTGAATGTGTGGAAGTGTATATAGCATTTTTCATCCATCTCAGAAAAAGTCTTAGATTACAAGTTCATTTAACCGTTACAATTCCATCAGGATAGTCCCTAGTCCTTACTAAAGTTAACAGCATATTATGTACTGTTTACAATAAATAGAAAAAAAAATGTCATTAATTACTACCGTTAGTTTTATAGACAAACCTTTGTCAGATCTAAATCTTGAACAATATATTTACTGTTCCCTGATGAAGGATTTTCTTCTGTGGTAATACTGCAAAAAAAAAAACACCAAATGATTGAAATTGCTGAAATAATGGGTAAATTATATCAAAAATTTTATATTAGTAACAATTCAGACAATCATATAAACAGACAATCATTTAGTAGTACATGTAATGAATATGCATTAAATCACCTTATCAATTGTTGAGAAGCAAAGTTCTGCAGTAAAACTTCAATAGTAGCCAAAGTAACGCCTCTTCCAAGAGTCTTTTTAGTTTGGTCTGCAATGACTGCCGCATTACAGGGGATATCTAAATTAATGTCACACAAGACCAGCAGCACTTTCTTCTCTACCTCCGGGTCCGACTTCACAGGCTCTGGGGATTCCTTGTAGGGTACGTCTGTTTTGGACACAGCTTGGGCTGCCTTGGGCACTGAGACTGAACTAGCCTGGGAAACAACGGGGTCTGGTTTACCATCCTTTTTTGTTCCATCTACATAAGTAAAGATATCAATGTATAAACACAATTTACCAGCCAAGATTTTTAACACGTAGATCCCCAGATCATGTTGATAATTCATTGCAACAAAAAAGCATCTTTCAAGTAAGTATAAATTAAATTTAAATTACATACAAGTAAATATAAATTAAATTTAAATTACATACATGAATGAAAACTATATTAGGTTCACTGTGTATGCTCATAAACAAATAAATATTCAAGAACTTGTTTTATAAAGCAGACCTGTGGTTGAAGATTGTGATGATTTTGATATTTCTGCTTCTAAACCCTCTCTTTCCTTCTTCCTCTGCAACATACGCGCTCGCATACTACTGAGTGACATTTTGATTGTTTAATATTTTCGTCTTTTAAATACTAGATAGCATCTAACTATTTTTTTCATCCTTCCCAAAATTAAGCGTTTTGGTGATCAACGCGAACGTGAATAACTAAAATTAAAACCAGAAATCATTCCGAATTTCTCAAAAATAAATTGTAAAAATTTGAATCTTCTTTACAAGCAAAAAAAGAAAGAAATATTAAAAAGAAATGCATGTTTATATAACATATATCATTAAAATGGCAATATTCAAGAGAAAATATATCCGGAATGTGCTTTTAGCACATGCGGATTTTAGTTTTAGGCACTTTATTACAAGCGCCATGTAAACGCAGATCATTAGCGGGACAATGACTACACACGGGAGGACCACTGGCTGGCCAAAAGGAGCAAATCCAGTATCGTATGCAGCAAAATATGGCATCACAAACCCTTCTCCAACTTTAGATCGGCCCATCCATCTGTACGTATATGTAAAAAATGTTGCACTACTTGAATGCATCGCTCCGTTTGTTTATCAGGTCCAGTACAATCAGTACATTTAGCTACGTAGGTAGAATTACCTACGTAGCTTTATTTACCTACCTCAGGTAGCTTTATTTAGCTATTTCAATGTAACTTTTCTTTTTATGGAAAAGAGACAAAAAATCGCAGTTAAATGACTATTGATATTTATACTAGGGAGACTTTAAAAAACATTCCAAAGCAGAGATAGTTTAAACATCGCTGTGTTTGGTCAATTTAGAGCAAAACATGCATTTCCATTATTTGGTTAGCTGTACGTGCGATGAGGCATGACTGAGTATGATTACTTCACATTGTGCTGAATAATTACCGACCTATTGTCGTGTTAACCGTAACTGGACTTCTTTGTCATTTCATTCAAGGAGTAACTGCTCTAACTGTCATACATAGCCCCAAAACTTTCAAAACTTTGATTGCAATTGCGCAGAAAAAGACATTTCTTCAAGAGGGAATTTTTCATGAATTGTTTTCAGATGAGTTCAAAGTTGAAAATGATCACTGCATCAAAATGATAGTTTTTGCACATCCTGAGAAAAATGCTTTTTTATAGAAATAAATTCATTTGGTAGCTAAATCAAGCTACCTGAGGTAGGTAAATAAAGCTACGTAGGTAATTCTACCTACGTAGCTAAATGTACTGATTGTACTGGACCTGTTTATCTACCAACTTCGTACACTGAGAGTGTGCTGGGCTTGGCATTTCCTCCCCAAAGGCACGCCAGTGACAGCCGAAAAATGTCCTAAACATAACCCCATCGAAATAGTTCAGTTATATGTAAGATATCACAAAGGTGTATCTTTCAGGCGATTTTTTCAAATGATAACAAACTGTAACAGGAAAGGAAAGGCTGGACCTGGGAATCGGACCCGGGCCCTGGCATCTCCAGTCATGTGCTCTACCATTTGAGCTATCCAGGCTGAAATCCATGGCCTAAACCATTACAAAATAATATGCAGACAGTGCGATCGTAAGGGAGAGCGCATATACTCAGTTTTAATTTAAATTGGGCTCGTCAAACCCCCACATGAAGTTTGAGCATCTGAGAAGTCATTCACAGTGCTTGATACGTGTACATGTACAGTATAAAATAGAAGATTAGAATTGATTTTGCTTGAGAACCAAACTGAACCAAAATTTATCTAATTCAAAATTTTAATACATCAGTACATAAAACGAAACTGACAAAATAAATGGTTGCTTGTCTGAATAAAATCTGCTATCTGCGCTCACTATAAATGAAAAGCTTCGTCCTGTTCATGTACATTACATAATGCCTATTATTGAAAAAGATTATTATTATTGGTCACAATCTCTTCATTAATAGCTTTATAGATTGCACTAGCTATATTGCTTGATATGGCTTCCAGTCAACTCGTACACACCCAGCTCATACACAAATGAATCCTTCACAAAGAGCCAACTCGAATACAAAACTGAAATCAACTCTTACACAAGGTTTTCCTGTTTTTGAAACAAAGGTTTAATTCATACACAAAGTTCTCCTTTACATAAAATTGAGGAGCCAACCCCTGAAAAGGGTTTTTCATCCAAAATTTTTGTAGATACATGTATTTCCAATTCCTATGATCAATCGAAATCGTAAACTTTTAATTATATATGCTTATTGCATACAAATTTTTCCACATATTTCATAAAGCAGTTGATTTTAATCACACAATAAATTCTTAAATGAATTTAAAAAAAAAAGAGGATACCTGGTAATTATTGTCAACAAGAAAATTGATTTGTTATAAATCAGCATAATGTCTTCATAAGGATCTAGTTTTGCCTTTTATATTACTGGTATATTTTCATACCCCCCGCTTGAAAAGTGGGAAGGTATATAGTAATCGGGATTTCCGTCCGTCTGTTACGTTTTATCTCTTATCTGCAACTCCTCTTATACTACTGAGTGAAATTTAATGAAACTTTCACAGTGTCTTTATTACATATTGCCATTGTCCACCTCCTATTTTACTTTTCTATTCGATACGTATTTTAGGTTTCCCATAGCAAAACATGGACATTGTCATTATATGTTTACCTATGACGTCACATATAGAAGCTTCTGGATAACATAAGGACGAGTTATTCCTCTTTACACATTACCTCAAAACAATATATAGCAACACATGGACATTATGGGAGGCGGGGGGTATCATTTAGTGAGCTCATTGCTCACAGTACCTCTAGTTTTGTTTGTATGGTTTATTATACCCCCTGCTTGAAAAGTGGGAGGGTATATAGTAATCGGTATTTCCGTCCGTCCTTTTGCTTTTGGGTACCCATCTCTTATCCGCAACTCCTCTTATACTACTGAGTGAAATTTAATGAAACTTTCACAGAATCTTTATTACATATTGCCATTGTGCACCTCTTATTTTACTTTTTTATTCGACACATATTTTAGGTTTCCCATGGCAAAACATGGACATTGCCATTATATTCTATATTTATATCCTATGACGTCACATATAGAAGCTTCTGGATAACATTTGATAGGATGAGTTATTCCTCTTTACACATTACCGTAAAACAATAGCAAAACATGTACATTATGGGAGGTGGGGGTATCATTTAGTGAGCTCATTGCTCACAGTACCTCTAGTTATTTTTGGTGTCCTTTGATTAAAACAATAAGAATCAAGAAAAGAAAGTTAAGAGTGTATACTGATTATTAATCATTTTTAGATACCCATTGACAAACTACACATTTGGAACTAAAGAGCCATTATATGAGAAGGACAGCTCAGTGCCTGCTAGATTTCAGCGAATGAGAGATGAGTTTGAGAAGATTGGAATGAGGCGTTCTGTGGAGGGGGTGCTGATTGTCCATGAACATGGTCTACCTCATGTCCTTCTTCTACAGCTGGGAACAACATTTTTCAAATTGTAAAGATTTAATATGTTCAGGATAAAGCTTTTTTTTTTCAAATCAAAGCGAAGAGCATGAAATGTTGAAAATATAGTATTCAAGAAAAATTCACTATGAAAGACTGAAAGATTTTTATTATTCCTCAGGTATAGTTTAAAATTAAAGAGCAACCAAATCACAACTAGAGATCAGAGGGAAAAATCAATTTATATTGGAAAAAGTAGTTTTAGGAATACTGAAAATTTAGCTTGTTGCTATGTGTACCAGGAAGTTTCTTTAATAAACATGTGTACATAATTTTATCTATGCTTTCATATTAAATTTTCAGACCAGGAGGAGAATTAAATTCAGGAGAAGATCAGGTGGAAGGATTGAAAAGATTACTCACAGAGGTACATGTTGTCACCTTTATATTCACACACATTGAAAAAAATCAATGTAGCTATACATTTATACATGTGTTTTCATTTAAACATTGAATTATCTTCATTTTTAACACTTATTATCTGTTGTCAGTATAATTATCTGTGTTAAATGATTTCAGACACTAGGAAGACAAGATGGTGGTACAATGGAATGGGTGGTAGAGGACACAATAGGGAACTGGTGGAGGCCAAACTTTGAACCCCCACAGGTAAAAAAAATACAGCTATTATAGGTATAAAGATACCCTCGCCTTTAGTGATACTCTACAGGTATAGAGATTCCCTCACTGGTATAAAGATACTCCTACAGGTATAAAGATACTCCTACAGGTATAAAGATACTCTACAGGTATAGAGAAACTCTACAGGTATAGAGATTTCTCCTCTGGTATAAAAATACTATAAGTCGTTTTGATTATGACCCCCATTGAAGAAGGGAGGGCATATTGCTTTGCTGCTGTCTGTCGGTCCACTTAGTTTCCGTTCATTTTCTTCTCAACCATTGCAAATACTGAAATGAAATTTGGTATACAGATATATCAGATAAATATCTAGGTCAAGCTCTGTTTTGAATAAGATCATGCCATTTTTGACAGAGTTATGCCCCTTGGACTTAGAAAAAATTCCAATATGGGGGGAGTGGGGCATAAGTGTTTAACAAACATCTCTTGTTCCACTGTGTTAAAATTTCATGATTTCTAAAAAAGTACAAATCACGATCGTTTTATTTTCAGGCTGCAGGAAATTAATTCAAAGTTTGTATAAGCATTAAAACGTTTTATAAAACTAATGTTAGCATTCACGATGGGTTTAATTTCACGGAAAACTGATAAATCGCGAACATAGTAAAATTAAAACCATCGCAATTATTTGCCAATTTACAGTACCTTCACAGGTTTAAAGGGTTTGTTCCCATCTCGCCTTAACTGTAAAATTAAGCATTCCCATTTTGCCTTAGTATGTTCTCGGGTGAAGATTTAATATATATAGTATAAAGTTTTGTTTTTTTTTTTAAAATACTTCTATTGCGTACTGTGAAGTATGACCTATGTCTGAATGAATTCCTACATTTTGTTTATTGGTATGTAAAAAATCAGGTCTATATAATAAAATCTTGAAATTTTACAACTATTTTTACATGGGGTCATGGGTAAAATTAAAACCATCACAGTTATATTTATAAATTATTTTCCACATGTTACTTTTCTACTATATTGTCTTTTGTACTGATTCGTATATTGAGATCTTAAAGAATGAAAAAAAAAGTCTATGCAGTTAATCGATCAGGTATGGAAACTATGCAAAACCATATAGGCGCAACGCAACGTCCATGCCATAAGGGGGTATTGATATACAGATATCCCTTCAAGCCAATTTACATGTATCCGGATAAATCACCAGTTAAACAAGACAAAATAACATTTAAAAATTTCGTTCCGATGAAAAATCGTCCTGTAGAGATCCTATGATATCAGGTCCACTGTATCAATGGAGTTAATCATTCAAAATGTCCCTTCTTCCATTCTTATGAAGCTATAACCATTTGAAAACTTGTTCTTTGTATGTGTAGGAAATTCCCGTCAGCATCTTGAACATTTTAATCTCTTTTTAGACATTTTCCTGTCTGCACACATATTTTTCACGTAGTGCAGTGCTCCATGACGCTCAATGACGTTCCGATTTTTGGCTGTCTTTTTACGCGTTGATCATTTATAAACGGCTATAAAACAGTCATATACCATCCAATTTAGTTCAAAATTTCTCGCAATGACGTTTCCTGCGTACTTAAGGGGCAGGTAAAATATCATAAATCTCTTTGCGCTACAATTGTGCAATTCTTAATTTTAATAAAGAGTCCTTGTGATGTAAACGTGCCAAAATGTAGCATGCTCCGTGAAGCAAGTTTTATCAAAATAAAAATGCTGTATATTTTTCAATAATCACCAGAGAGCACCAAATTCTTGTTTATTTATTTGAAAAAAGATAAAGATATTATCTGGAAAAGGGTATGATAATACCAACATAAACTTAAGATACCAAGAGGGTTTCATTCAGATCCAGAATTTTATGACTTTTGAAATCTATTGCATAAGCTTACCTTTTGGTTATTAATAAAGATTATTTAATAACTTTATTGCAATGAGTTAATATTTTTTTTACATGTATATTTTTATGTTGTTTTAGTATCCATACATCCCAGCACATATAACCAAACCAAAGGAACACAAAAGACTTTTTCTTGTTCAACTCCCAGAAAAAGGTAATGTTTGTGAAGCTCAATATCTACATGTAAATTGTTTATTTCATAGACATTTGATGAATGTCAGTTGATGGATATTGTTACACTTTGCTAAAAAATAATCTACATTTATATAGTAGGGATGTATGATTTTATGTTTATAACAGTAGATCAATGATTTTTTATTGCATGACATGGAGACTTACATGCTGGTAGTTAGGAGAGGAGATGAAAAAATTCTTTTATTTGCAGCATTATTTGCAGTCCCAAGAAATTACAAACTGGTAGCAGCTCCCTTATTTGAACTCTATGATAACAGTGCAGGTTATGGACCGATAATCTCGAGTTTACCACAAGCTCTTAGTCGGTGAGTACTCTCTTTTGTTCAGTCTGACTGTTAATAGTTGAGTCTTATGTCTTAAAACTTAGAGGAAAATGTACTTTTTTTCATATATAAATGGAGTATCTTGTAGGTTGAATGGTTCCTATGTAATTCTAATGTTAGTTTTTCTATGTTTCTGTGATGTTTGGATCTGATATTGTTTCTGTGTTATCTGTCACAGTCAGAGCTCTTTTCGGAAAAATTTACAGGTTCAATAAAAGTTGTCTCCCCTTTTTTGGTTGAACATCATCAATAGTTTACAAGAGTTATTTTTCTTGTGCCTGAAAACAAATTCATTTCTTTGTCTCTTCATTCATCTCTTAGTTTTAATCAGGATGAAGATTCATCTTATATTATATAATAATACATTGAAGTACTTCAGTTATATGTAGTGTATGTACAAAAAGATGAAATATATTAATCATATGCAGGGTATGTACATGTTAATAAGTCTTCCCTCAAAAATGTTTGGTTTTTCTTTTTTTGATCAGAACTCTAAATCGACTGCTACCGTATATCCATTTTTTTTCATGATGATCAATTTTTCTGCAACCTTTATTAATTTGCAAAATATGAAACATGCAGAAATAATGTCAGCTTCAATGTGACATAAAAACATTACCATTTAAAAAAAAAAAAAATCTTCACTGATTGTAAAAAATAGCTTACTCAAAATAAAAACTAGCGGCCATCAATTAGCACTTATGTTTTGTGTGTAACATTACAGCGTTTTCAGTGAAAACTCAATGACAAAATACACCTAAAACAAAAAGTCTACAGTGTCATTGGAAATTCCATGTACACTTTACACCAACGTTATGTGTGTAAATTGTAGGGAAAAGTTTTGTACACTCTACATCTAAGAAATTGAATCACAAGCGTTTCTTGTGTTGCCCCTGCAAGATGTAGGGGCAACACAAATAATTTTTTTTTATTTTTTTGAGTAATTAAATGAATACTCAGCTTTCTGTTTCTATTTAACTGTCAACATACATGTCGAGACCATTATCATAGGGATTTCCATAATAAAAATTTTACTATTAATTGAATATTAGGGAACGGCTTTATAATTGGGTCAGTCCAGTATTTATAAGATCAAGGTACAGAAGTGAAAAATGTTGTTAAGGTATTTTAAAGTTGATAATGCCATTCAAAAGTTTGTGTAAAATGTACATGGAATTTTACAATGGCACTGTACATTTAGTACACTTTAAGTTCTTAGGTGTACAACTTGTCATCGAGTTTTCCTTGAAAACGCTGTACACATTACACTCATAGCATAGGCATAAATTGACGGCTGCTATCAGCCATCGTAGATTAGCGATCAATCAGCCTGTGGGAGGTTTACTTTAGTATATTGTAATAAAATACCGTATAAGTAGAATTTTTAGCGAGGATTTAATTTTGGCATTATTAGCGAGGGTGCTAAGATCACTAAAATTGGATATCGCTAAGAAATAATTGCGTTTTATTTTTTATAGCTTCTTTAGTGAGCTTTTTAAAATCGCTAAAATTACTTTTAAGATTTAAAAAGAAATTTAATAAAATGGATAAGAAATATGTGTACCGGTAAATAGAGAGTGCAATATTCTTTAAATAACAAATGTGTCGGATAGAGGTCAGGGTTATAATTCTTATACAGCTGAACTAGTTCATGTAATTGATTTAAGACGTTGATGAATTGTGCTGCCTGGGCTTCTAAAAAAGAAGAAGTTGTGAAAATCAAGATCTGTTATGTTTAGATTTCAGTCAAACTTGTGAATGGTGAAAGTTTAGAACCTCTGAATACTCTCTCAGTAATCTAACCCATTGCTGCCTATTTTTGTCCAGCATATTATGAATTGTGTGTTGGTTGTAAACTTCCAAACATTTTCAAATTCTCTGAATCAGCTGAACCAATTTCAAGCAATTTTGGATAATGTCTCTTTAGTTAAAAAGAGAAACAAAAGTTGGGAATTCTATAATCCATGTTCTTCTGAGGGTTGGGCTAAAACAAGGAAAAAATTAATATAATCTGAATTTTGTCAGGTGCGTTGTTTTGTCAATAATGGTAATTTTCTATTTAAACGTAATTTGAAATTTTTACTCATTTTTAGAAGCCACTTACATGTGTACTTGCCTGAGGAGGGCTGCAAATTGAGACTTATACTCAGCATATAAGGTCTTTGAGCTATGACTGATTGGCTTTTGTACCAGCATCTTCTGCAACACAAGTCTTTGATTTATAGTCTCACTGTCTCATTCGAAGGACTGGTATCCAAATCTTAAAATAACAATCAACTTTTCATTACATGACTCTAGCAAATCCTCTCACTACTGCACCAGGCAGGCAACAATTTTCAACAATGTTATGAATAATGTAGGCTCTGCATCTTAATTTTATTTAAAATGTTTAAGGTATTGGATAGAACCTTAATTATCATGCCCCTCTGGTACACAGAGATTGGGTGGAGTGTACATAGGAATCACTTTGTCAATCTTTGTGCAGTGTTTGAAACTCACTGTAAAATTTGCTGGACATGCAGGGCTGATTGCTAGCAAAAGTTGTCCGCCCTGCCAAAAATGTACAAAAAATAAAAAAGCCCGAAAAAAATAAATGTCTTTTATAAGTTCATTTTAGCAATAATTTGAATGAGGCCAGCTCACAATATATTCGATCCCTGACCTATAGGCTGATGAATTCTACCCATTTGCTCGTTACACTTTGCAACCAGTAATATTAGTTGATTTGAGAGAGTTTTATCAAATGTCTGAATTTAACTTTATGGAAAATTTTTATACGTTCAGACAGGCATCAATTTATGCAAATCTGTTCATCCCTTGACAAAATTTGTGCGTCTTGGGTGGTCGGGCACACGGTTATTTCAAACACTGCTTCGTGTTTCTGTGCAGTCATGTCACTCGTATAACTTTGTAGTGGAGAATCATTTGAAAAATCAGTTGTTTATGACATGAGACTATGTTGTGTCCTTTACCCAGAATAATTTTAGGAAATTTAAGGTCACTGATGAAATAATTTTAAAATCATATATCTGCTGTACAATTTCCTCATGAGAAATTCTCCAGGTACATACCGTTTACAAATACATATATGTATTACTTATGACTCAACAATGCATTATGACCTTCATCTAAGGTCATTTCATGAAGTTCAAGGTTACAATTAGGGGGGTAAATGTTTTTCATTTGGGGAGAAAGTTTTAATTCCTAGCTGTATCACCGTATCAGGCAATGAAAAACATTAGAAATGCACTTATCTCAAATAAAGTACCTGTTGGTTTACAGTAGTAATCTTGCCTCAAAGTAGTTCAGCTAGGTCACTGGTAAAAAAAAATATACATATTCTCCTGTCTCTAACTCTCAAATGGTTGTTTATTGATGCAAAAATTGCAATATGACCAAGGGCTTGTTTTGACCTTTAATCCAAGTTCATTTTGGCCTCCCCCAGTTTTCTTTGTGAAACGATCATGTCAGGTAATAGGTGGAAGAGATGACAAGAAATCTACAGTAAATTAGTGATGTTTTTTAAGAGTTTTATGTGGAAAGCTTGGAATTCCTTCAAATGAGTCTGTTGTAGATAAAAATATTGTCTTAATTTCAAAAGATCAAATAAAATCTAATTTCAAGCATAAACAACACCTTAAGTTTACATTGTCTTTCTAAATATATTGATGAGTTATATTCTAAATTGTGATCATGCTTTTGTACTTGTCATGGGTATAAAAAGTTTGATAACATGATCTGATAAAGATCTCTTATTTTTAATTGCAATTTTTTCATGTCTGGAGCATTCAATTCAATATGCAGTCATCCGAAGTCGAATTTCCTGGGATTCTTACATTCACAGATCTATTTACAAAAGACCCCTTAAATATGACTCCTGGAGGTAAAAAAAAATGTATAGAATCATTAATTAGAGTCATTTTTGTTGTGAATCAAGGAAATGCTAGATTCCTTCGGCCCCAATGATTATGACCCCCTGGTCCTTTTCTCACTCTTGTGACTCACGCCTTCTTTAACGTTTTTTTTTTCTCTGGCACTCTCAGTCCATTGCCAGGAATGAAAGTGACAGACCATTCTCATTTTTCTAAATTAGTGAGTGTGTGCTGATTTCGATAATTATGAGAGAAACAAGTCTTTGTGCAGTCTCCCCGAGCTGACAAGGGCGAGGCATAATGAAGGAATTATAGCTCATCTGCATACAGTGAAAAGATATGGTAACATTTCACATGGCTTAACAGTTCTGAGTCATTACGTACCCATCTGGCAATAAATAGTTCAGCCCGGAAATTTCTGGGTTTCTTTACTGCTCAGTGGGGGAGAAAAAAGAGTTCTTTGTTAAAATTCGCTCCTCCAAGTTGCATCAGTAATTAAGAATATGCATTAATATTGTTTCATGAAATTTTACCCTAAAACTAGAATATATGTTCTTATTGATTTTTTCATTATCTCTCATTTAGTGGTTAGGTAATTATAAAGAACATGAATTTTATTTCAAATAAATTACGAGTAGTATTTTAAAGAAAACATTTAACTGTTAATTCTTTGCATCATTAATGCTGTAATGTAATTGCCAATGATGGATGCTGTAGGATTTGGTTGGGTTTTTCCTTACAGAAAAAAATAAGGCATAATTTTTTTGTTTAAAGTAATAACCAATTTCAATTTTTGTAATGAACAAAGAAAAAAGTTACTAATGCATGTTCAAAAGAAAATGATTGTAAAATTGCAGATGTTCTTGATTGTTCCTCAGAAGGGTCATATATAGGACTATTTTGAACAAAGCAGGCCAAAAGAGAGGAAAAAGTTACCCAGGAATATTTTTCTGTCTTTTAATTGCTCATCCCTCATTTTAGAATTCCAAACTCCGGGATGGATCGGATTACAAGAATAATTAAAATGAAGCCATCATAAAATGTCTTGCCCTCTGAGCTAAAGTGATTTTTCTAAGAAACAAAATCCCAATTCAGAGTGAGTCAACCATC